GCTGAAAAATATTTGCCTCTTGATTAAAAAGATCAAATGTGCAACTCCTTGGTATTGGGCTTTTCTGGTGGGCTGTGTTGTTACATGCCTGATAGAACACATTTATGAAAGGGAGGAGATGGGGATGTATTTTGGAGCAAGGAGATGACAGAGCCTGCTGTGAGCCAGCCCCTGTTCTGAGCGAGTGTTTTACTGGAGATAAAGTGTGGGATGAAGCAGAGCAGGGCATCTTGCTCCTGGGTGAAGGGCATGGACACATTAATATTTCCTTTTCTGCACACACCTCTCAGTTTAACCAGACAAGAAAGCCAGCAGAAGATGGGTCAGGGTGGGGATGTAATAATCTTCCAACTGACTGTGCAGTGGGAATCAGGCATCTAGGAGAGCAGTCTCATATGCAGAATATTTTCTGGTGGTTCATACAGTTTCTTGTCAATGAATGTCAAATTATTAATAGTTCAGTTGCATTTTTAAGGCTCCTTGTACAGTGAAACTATTATTTTGATGCATGTACCTGACAACTTCCCCCTCCTCTCTTGTACAGGTTGTAGTGGACATATTTAATGGATTGTGGGAGTGTATCATGGAGGCTTTAAAGCAGCACACATTGCAAGAACTTGACAATGGAGTTGGTGGAAAACCTTATTTCAGAAGACTTAATTTACTTTTCTCAAAAAACAGTGTAAGCCTATGGCAGAAGTTTATGCTAAACTTACAGACTTTTGATTTGACACTCACTGCTAGTTCAGGGGGTTTGGGGATGGTTTTTAGTAGTTTTATTCAATTTGATTCCCTAGCTAAATTATGCTAGAATGCAAATGGCATAAAAACCTGTTTGTGTTCAGAGACTTGGCTAGATTATAAAAGTAGAATATGAATGTAGTAACTTCAACTCTAAGTAGAGCTAGTGCCAGACAACTTCAGCTTTGAACACCAATCTAGCCCTCAGTACTGCAGGCATTATCTGACCTGTTACTGAAGGAATGAAAGCTCACTAGAGCCCTCAGCATTTTTTGGTTTTTTGCACTCACAGTAAAAATAAATACTATGAAATTTGGTGTAAGATGTTTCTGGAGTCATTACACTGAGTTGATACACAAACCACTCAAATATAGCTGAAAGCACAAAATAAATATTTCTTTAAACACAAGTACCACTGGATGTAAGTGGCAATCTATTCTCAGAGAGGCTGGGATGTGCCAGGCTGAACTGAAGTTCCAGGGATGAGCTGAGTGGAGAAATGTTCTCATGTATCAAGCACTGGGCAGAGTCAGTTACAGTCTTCAGCTTAACAGTGTTTGGATCTTACGTTTTTAAAGGGAAATTGAGACAAAAACCCTTTCAAAATACCTATTTTTTAAAAAAAAAATTGAAATCTTCCTCTGGCATACGAGTCTGTAAACCTGAAGTCTAAACTGATTTAAAGACACAGGGTATATGTTTGAGTCCAATCTCTCCACACTTTAGAAACTGGATGTTTCCTAGCAATCTAATAACCTGCTGCTGTCAGTGGCTGGATGGAACATTAGCTCTTACAGAAGTTCAGTTTTGACAACTTAGTTTATATTCTTTGTTGATTGTGATACTATTTAATGGATGCCTTATTTTATAAAGTCTATTCACTCTGGGAGCAGAATAGAAAACTAAAGGGAACCATATTTTAGAGAATTTGCATTTGTGAGCAGCATTGCTGCAGCTGTGTGTGACAATGTATAATGCTGTAGAGGACACTAAACATGTTCTGTCTGAATGCTTACACATTGTAAATGTGCTACAATAAACACTTGCAGCTGCAGTAAGTATTGAGTGTGTTAGAATTCATCTTAAGAGTAAATTTGTTGCCAGGTTAATATAGGAGCTTTGTTTTTTAATAATGCTATGCAATCTCTGGCATGAAACGGAGAGTGGAGTGTGTGAACTTGGATTTCCTATGGCCATGCTAGTTCCTGTGGACCCTGGTGAGGACCTGCTTCCAGCTGATGTTTAACAGCATTTCAAAATTTGCCATAGAAACAAATATTCAAGTATTTAACCTTACACTAAAAACACTCCTCAAATTCAGCAAAGGCAAACCAAAGGCATAGGAAGAACAGATTATTCACAGTATCTGAAAGTTTTGTGTACTGAGGTCCTTCTCTTTCAACACCTAAGACTGAAGACTTTTGAAACTTTTCAAAAAGACACAAGGCAGTCTTGCCTCAAAAAAGCAAATATGAAGTGACCATGTTTTCTCTTGGAACAATTAACTCCTTATGGATCTTTGACAATGCACAAAATATAATGTGCATATCACTATTGTGTACAGTAATTGATGTAAGGAGCTCTGGCAAGGGTGGCAAACACTTTAAGATCAATGAAATGCAGAAGGCAGACTTGCATGGCTTTTTCATACAGAGTTAAGAGAAAGCAAAGATTAAAAATTCACTTAAAATGCAGGAACATTTTGTAAAGAGCTATGGAATACTTTGCCAATACAATTATAAGGCAAAAAATGGTCTGATTTCATTTAGAAATGGGATAGAACATGTGCTTTGTCACCATTAGCTTACTGACTTGGCAGCAAGTTTCAAGAAAATTTGACAGAGCTCTAAAGTATCAAATTCTTACAGAGTTTTAGAATAGCAGAGAGAAAGCATGTTAATAGTAGCCTGCAGCATGAGCATAAGGCATGGAAATCAACAGGTGACCACAAAGCAGGAAAATACACTGTATATAGAGTCTTCCTATTACTAATACATGTGGTGAAGCCTTCCACTGAAGATTGGTTTCTGTTGCCTGAAGTGAAGCACTGGAAATCCCTGGTAGATCTTTAGTGATGACAGGTGGTTGTGCTACAGCTAAAAAGTCAATAAACTGAGATGCAGAAATTACTTGGAAAACCAAGGTCTGTGTTACTGCTGCTGGATTCCATAACTTTTAATTTATCATTGCTGGGAGTTGTGTGGGTTTGGGGAGGAAAGAGTTGATAAATTACAAGTTGCCTTCAGACAGTAATGGGCAGGGGCAGACTGTGAGGCCAGAGGGGAGGGTTAGCTAAAAGAATGAGAAGGATGTTTAAAGCAAGGATAGGATGGGGTGAGGGGAAAGAAAGGGACTGCTTATAAATTTAGCAGGGCAGCAATCGTGTATTTCTGGCTGTGTGTGCAGGCTGTTACACTGGGAAAGAAGAACAGTACCCTGAAAGGTCACAGGCTTGCAACTGCTCAAAATGTCCAATTCTGACTGGGAAAATAAATGCTGCTTGTATTATATTTCTGATACTTAGATTCTGATTATTTTTAAAGAAAGAAGCAGACACTCAAACTTGCATTGTTCACCTTGGTGCTACCCTTGGCAGTCTAAGTGCTTACTTGTCCAGGTTTCTGACCTGTGTGATCCTTGGTGCTAAAGATCTTCATCTGCCTGACCATTTTGCTCCCCTGAGAAGCAGCCAGTCAGTGCTGTGTTCTCTAGCCTGCTAGCTGCTTTTGAGGTGAAGTACAGCTCAGCCAGATCTGTGGCTGCTGCTGTTGTGTGTGGTGAGGCTTTTTAATCTTATCAACATATGATGTGCTGGTTATGGCCTTGCAGAGCCAAGATGTGTGACAATGACCTTATTCTAAAAATCCCTTGTGACTTGAGTATCAGTGATCTCAGCATTAGCAATGCTGGTAGCACATGTAAAGCTGCATCCTGGAGACATGGGTATCTTTATGCTGATACAATCAAGCAGGCACAGACAGAGCTGTAAAATGCAGCTGGAGAGAACAAGGAAGCAGATAAAGCATCTGATAAACTCATGCTTAAATATGCCCTCCTGACCAAGAAGCTGTGGAGGGGTAAGAGATTTTCTTTGTTCTGATTCTCACTGGGCTCTGGAAAGTCCAATAGTCAGTATTTCCTCATGAAAATAAGTCACAGAGTGCTGTATTGGGCAGCAGTTGTTCTCCTACCAAGGCTCATTTCAATGCCAATATTTTGCATATACAGTTAGGGAGAACTTCTTGTTTTCAGCGAGCCCAGATCTTCTAACATAATGAAGTTACACTGAGAGGAAGAGGTGGAGGGCTTACTTGTTTCTAAGTACCAGTTTCCATGTTGGATTGAAGCACATTCTCAAGAGAAGGTAAACAGTGTGTACACAAAAGAGTAAGAAATCAAATTCAGAGGTATGAGCATCTATCCAGTATTAAAATGTGTAAAGGCATAATTTATCTGGCAGATGGGGGGACAGGAATGGAAACAGAGGTAGGACAACACACAGACACTGCTGTATAAAACAAAACCTGTGGCTGCACCTGTGAGGAGCATCCTCCTGCCTCAAGCAGTAGCTAATGCCAGAAGAAGCCTTAAGAAAATCTTCATGCACGAGCTGACACAAGGCTCTTGCAGCTAATGTTGAGAAATTGCATATGGATGTTTGTCTGGGCTTTTGTTCCTTCTTCTCCCTCACAGTGTGACCACAACCAAATACAGCATGATCTGAGAGCATTGTGTAAGAATCCTGTGCTGCCCATGTCCCCTGTGTGGGCAGGTAGAGAGCTCAGTTGCTGCTATGGTGCCTCTTACAAGCCTACATTCTGTTCTGACCGCTCTAGTTTGGAGTAACTGCATTAAACCACATTCTCTGAGGAACTAAATACTTCTTGACCTGCAAGACAACCAACTCTGTAGTTCACCTGCAGTCTTCCCTGCATGCTATCACCGTGCCTACAACTACTATTGGCAGTAAGGCAACTCCTGTTATGACAGAGATTATGCTGAATTGCAGGGGACCCACAAGAATAACACAGCCCAACTCCCAGCCCTGCACAGGACATCCCCAGGAGTCACACGGTGTGCGTGAGAGCCCCGCGCTCGGGCCGGGGCAGCGGGGCCGGGCGGGCTCAGGGCACGTGTGCGGCGGGGCTCCCTCCTCCGCCGGGCCCATAAAGGCGGCGCGGCCGGCTGGGCAGCAGCGGGGTCCGGGCTGCTCCGCCGCAGTCCTGCCCCCGCCGGGCAGCGGCCGAACCCCGCGGCCCATGGAGATCCCCCTCAAGTCCCTCCCCGGCGGGCGGGCCGCCGTTAGCGGGTGAGGGAAGCGGGCTGGGCTGAGCTGGGCTGGGCGCGGTGCCGAGCCCTCTGGTCAGCCCGCCCGGCGGGCAGCGGGGTCAGGGCGAGCCTTCGCCAGCGGCTGCGGACCGCACCGGGCTGGGCTATCCCATCCCATCCCGCCGGCCGGGGCCGCGGTAGCGCCGGGGCACGGGGACGGCGGGAGCCGCTCGGGAGGCACAGGGGGGCGGCGGGCGCGGGTGCCTCGGGCTGCACAAGGTAGGTGGGTGGGACGGTGGGTGCTGCCCGCCGCCGGGACGCTGCTCGCAGCGCAGAGCTCCGTGCACGGCTCACACCGTCACTGCCCCGGCGGCGGCCCTCGGCCCGCGGCTGCCGGGCGCGTTTAGCGGGGCAGGGACGGCGTGAGCCCCGCACGGGAGCGCTTTCCCCTCCGCTTCTGAGAGGAGCGAAGCGGTGCCGTCCTCTGGTAGAGTGCTGAGAGCTTAGTACAGATCGGGAAGGTGAAGCTGGGATTGCCCAGGCTGACGTGTAGAACTCAATTCAGTGATGGCTTTTTCCCCCGGTTTTTTTTCTCCTTCTTGCCCCCTTAGAACCGCAGGGCTCTCGTTAATAGCTCTCCAAGATACAGAGCTCAAGCAAATAAATGTTGCTGATACGGAGCTCTGATGGGCACTGTCAGTGTCGCTGCTCTAGTGAGTTACTCATTAACGAAAGTGACTGCGATCACTTACTAAGCGCATTTTAGCTCTAGATTCAATGGTGCTTTTTCTGCTGGGTGAAGAGCTAACTACTACAAGTGTATTTCAGGAGTAGGTAGCTGTAAATTGTAGTCCTTACTGTTGAAACCTCCTTGTTGAGTGGAATGCTGAGCTCTAAAATGCCTCGCTACAGAAGAGCTGAACAGCAGACTGTCCTACCAGGTACAGCAGTGCAGTGCTGGTCACAGCAATGCAGCTGCTAGAACTGAGTTAGTGCCAGTTGTATTGAGACACATGGCACCTGGATGTGCACCTCAGCATGCATTATACAGTTAGTCTTCATTCACAAAAAAAATTTGAATGTGTCGGTGCTTCACAAAACACGCGGTGGAAACCCATAGAGTGGTGTAATTACACTACTGTGTCAGGATTTAATTGCTTCATTGCTCTGTGCTGAGCTGGGTACTGTGTTTCAATTAGGTTTAGATTACTAGGCTAATGACCCTGTGATAGACTTAGATGGTTTGTTTTAAATATGGTAAATCAGTGGTAATCTCTTGGAGCTTTTAAACTTCTTCAGTGCTTTGGTTGAAGGTTCTAGTTCTGCTGATTTAAGGTGGTCTATTTGGATGTAATTTTTAATCTATCCTAGAAATGAATGAACTCAAAACCAGTTGATCTATTTCACCTGTTGCCCTGTTACCTGTTTCACCTGTTTTAAAATGAATTCTTAAATACTACACCAGAGAATGCCTCTTTTTTAATTGAAAGACAAAGTCCAACAGTGATAGAGGCTTGAATCTTCGGTCTGTCTTAAGCAAAAAAAAAAAAATATATGCTGCTTTCTTTGACAAATTTCCTGCTCATAATTGCTACAGTTAATTAATAAAGGGAGCTAAAGACATCAATGAAAATAATCCTTACCCACAACTGAGAGTTGTGTAAAGGTGAAAGTGCTGTTATTAGTCAACATCAATTTTTTGGAATATCTGTAAAGTCTTTACACATCTTTGGAGTAAGCATTATGTTTTTCATGCTATGTATTTGAATATTTTTTTAAAAGGCTTATTATAAAGTTTGTTGTTTGATTTATGAGGGTTTGGCCTATGTTTGTTTGCTTTTTTTATTTTTAAAGATTTGTCACTTCTGATATGCTTTTACTGGAAGATTAGGGAAGGATTTTGCTGAAGTCTTGGCGTGGTTCTTATGTCATACCTTCATGCTTTAAAATGTGACCAGATTTGGCTTAACCCTGTTCTGTTTCCTCTTTCCTGCCCACCTCCTGCTGTCAGTTTCACTCTGGGTTGGCTCTTGCTCTCTGTGTGCCCACACAGACGCTGCTGCCTGTGGGAGAGGCTGGTACAGAGCAGTGATGGCTCTGGGGGTCAGTGCAGGACTGAAGCATCCTTGTACCTGAGTCCTTGATCAGGGCTCACAGCTGTAACTATCACATCCTCTTCTGACAGGTGTGTTTGCATCTTTCAAAGTTTTTGTATCTTAGACGTTACTGAAGCCAGTCCAGTGTGTTTTTATTACAAATTTAAATAGGGGTATGCTGCCAACAGTTTCTTTTTCTTGGAAGCTTCCCATGTTTTTCCTGCTTCAAAAACCAAAATGGTCCTGCCTCTCATCGTCTTCATGAAAGATTGATTTAAGGCCATGATGGAAAGATAACTTTTGAGCTTTTGATATTAAAATAGATTTGTTGTTTTCACTTCCTCTTCTGAGGAAACCCCACAGTGTCAGCTTTACTCTGCTTCTTTAACTGAAGTTTCTCTTCTTGTGGGACAGCTGGTTCTAGCAAATCAAATGTGCTTTGTGATCTACAGTTTGAGCTTAAATATCTGTGCATTTCAGACAGGTGAGGACACAAAAGGTAAAAATGAAAAAGTATCCCAAGTACCTGAAAACTTGGAATCAATGCTTTTGGTTTTGAGCCTCAGACAAAATGTTATCCTTTATAAAATTCAGAACATTGGGAACAACATTCTGAATGGTAAATGGGACTGATAATCAGCTGGTGTCAGATATGATCCTCTTAACATGTAAAGAGAGAAAAAAAAATTACAAGGTGTGTTCTGGTCTGTGTGTAAAGTAGGAAAGTTCCGAAAGTTTATGGCACTGGAAAACAGGGTTAAAATGATCAGGAGATGGGTAAAGTTTTTTCAATGTCCCAGTCAGTTGAAAAGGAGAAACCCAAGATGATTTAAAACACAACAGTCCTTTGTACTTGGTCCTCTGATTTTTACATGACCAGGTATTTAAATAAATAAATGCCTTTGAATGTAGCCCTTGAAGCTGCATGTTCATAACAGAAGTGTGTGTAAAGCCTGCTCTGGTTTAATCTTTAAGACACCTTTTTCTTCTGCTAGAATGTGGGTTATTCAGATAAACATGTTAACAGTGGTCCCTCTTTGTTTCAATTACATTTTAAAGAGAGTACTAGCAAGTCTACATTTCTTTCTGTTACAGACCCTCTTATTTAATGCCTATTAATTATTTGTCTAAATGGTGTGTGTGTGTTTTAATGATCAGATGTGTTTGAATGCTTTGCAATTATATGATCACAAGAAAATTTTTTTGCATTTCCATACGATAACCCAAAAAAACATTTTGGACCTTTTATGTCTTCTGGTGATCTGAGGTGATACTGCAATGAGGAAATTTTCTGCCAAAATGTTCTGTTTGTTTCTAATTAATATGGTTTTTTTGTGCCAGAAATATGATGACTCAGTCAGATTTAGATCTAAAAGAGGCGGCTTTGAAAGAGGATTTGAAGTTTTACTTCATGAACCCATGTGAAAAATACAGAGCAAGAGGTCAGATACCATGGAAATTGGCTTTGCAGATTTTGAAGATACTTATGGTTACAACACAGGTGAGCCTCTGGTTTCACTCTTAGGGTAGCAGTGATGTGCAAGAGAGGCAGGTCTGTGCTCCTGGGCCTTGGCCATCCCTGGGTGCTTGTTACTGGCTTGAACCTCCCACTTCAGTCCATAAAGGAAAAATACTATAGAAGGTGTTTCTAGTGGGAAGAATAACATAAATTATAAAAGCCTCCTGGAGATTTTTAGGGTAGTCATTGCTTTAAAGTATTTTTTTAGGGCAGTAATTTGCCTTAAACTATTATGTCAAATTTTTGCCATTTTGGACATACTTTAAAGCAAATTACTCTTGCCACAAAATTCAACACTGTCTTCAGGCTTATTGTCACAGTACTGCTTTTTGTTCCATTCTTGGATTACAGTTTCACTGGACTATTTAAAAAGTGATATTTCCTGGTATCTTATCAGGAAATTAATGTGTCCATGTTCAATGTGAAGATGCTCTGGTTTCTGATGATGATGGGATGGCTGGGCTGCAGGAACTGGATGTGCCTCTTGCTTCTGTCATCAAATAATGCATTTGAGAAGTCATGTACTGTTTGAGATACGTGGAGGCAAAGGAGAGGGTGTTTGTAAACTGCACTGGTACCACAGTGCAGTTGGTTATGTTACAGTCCTCTAACAGTGACTGCATGTGGAAGGAAGCAAAATGGGACACGCACATAGGTAGAAATCACTTTTTCTGAACCTTTGAAATGCAAGACTGACATCTGAGGGTTTGCAAGAACAGCTAAATATACAGGCTGGGTTGTTCCTCTTCCTTCAAAGACAGGACAGCAGACTTTGCATGTGAATGATACAACATTCACAAAATGTTGTATGACACAAAATACAACTTTACCTGTCTCTGGAAAGATTCAGTACTGCCACCTGTACTGACATACTGACTTCCATTTCTGGGGCTATCACTGGACATGTAACATTTCTGTCTGCTGCCCCAGTCTCCCACTGTCCTTTGTTAGCAAAAGGAGTGCTCTTCTGCTTGGTTTTCAAAGGCCACAAGATTTTTCTGGGCTGCTGCTTGAGACTTTTCTTGTCAGCCCTTGGTTTTGCTCAGATGTCAGGCTTGGGGATATCCTCCTGCTACTGTGCCTATGAAGAAGCTTTTGTGGAAAACCAAGCAGTTCCTAGGCTCTATTTGTTTTTCTTGGTGGTGGAAATGGGAACATCCATATGGCAGGGGAACACAAGTCTTCAGTAACTCTGCTGTTTGCTGTCCCTGCTTGTTACAGCCTCCTTAAGCAGCACCTGGGTCAGGCAGGTGAGGCTCTTTATTGCTCTAAGCCTGTGCCATGCCAGGGGTAGGAAAGGAGCAGGAGTTTGTCCATAGCAAAGCAGAGCCTTTCAGGGGTAGCAAGGTGTGCTCTTAAATTGGCTTCTCTGCCATTTGCGTCCTCCACAGAGGTTTTTGCAAATCCCAGCTGGAGTTGTTGGTCCATGAGATGTAAATCTGCAAGTGATGGAGCTGTCTGCTCAGCTGCTGCAGTTAGAGTCTGTTTCACTTACCCTGCATGTGAGAACCTTGCCTTTGGGAATCTTGTGCCATTGGTTAAAGGGTGCTCTGCTCCTGCCAGAGTTACAGCAACAGTTTTTATTTATTGTAATTTAAAGCTGTTTCCAAAATGCTGGTGCTTGACTACTGTTCAAAATTCAAATCCATTTATTTTTTTTTTTTCTCTTGTTAGCTTGTTTTTTTTGGTTTGAGTAACCAGCTGGTGGTCTCATTCAAAGAGGAAAACACTGTTGCTTTTAAACACCTATTCCTGAAAGGCTATTCTGGAACTGATGAAGATGACTACAGCTGCAGTATATATACACAACAGGATGCTTATGATAGCATTTTTTATGTTATTAATCAGGTAGGTGTGAATTTTAATTTAAAAGCCTGTATTGATACATATAACTTTGAGGTTTCAGTTTGCTTTCTAATGCAAAAAAAAGATTGCTTTCTCTAACTTCTATTTCTGTTTTTGTTTTTAAACTAGTACAGGAACTTAAAGAACATATCCCTGGGGACCCTTGGTTATGAACATGAAGAATCAGGTCTAAAAATCTGTAAACAGCAGTACAAGAGAGGCACCATGCTTCCTTCCAATGATACTCTGAACATAGATGTTTCTACTGAAACAGGTACAGTACTGTTGTACTTAAAATGTCTTGCTGTGGAGTACTTGAATTCTTGTTCTAAAGCTTAAAACAAATAGCTTTTTGTGAGGCAATCTCAGGAACACCACCATGCTTCTTGCCTATTTCCCTCTTTGTTTTTAGCACCTGTCTGGAAAAGACAGCTGTGATTATAAGGGGCTCTCTTCAACCACCTACAAATCCTGGCAGTTGATGCTGAGGTGGTGTTTTGTTGTTCTTTTTCTTAAACACACCTGCTCCCCTCTGTGCAGGAGGTTCAAATAGGGAATTCTGGATGCTGGGCAGTCTGTACCTTCCATGGCTGGGTGCCCTTTCTGCCTCTCAGCTGAGTCCTGGCTGCTCACGAGCTGGTACACAAACCTGCTTCTGACCCCACTAGCTGGGCCTCTGAATAGGTTTGCTCAAAATTCATGTTTTGCTTCATTGTACACACTGATCATCTCAGTTTAATGCCACTTTCAATGTGAAGTTTTTATGCTGACGTATTTTCCTCTTGTCTTTCCAGAATGTATCCTTTTAAAGCCAAAGGAACTAACTGGTAAGAAGGCAGAACTGAAGCTGAACTCTTCTTTTTTCAATCTTGAATTTTACAGGTAAAGAGATGAGGTTCTTTAAATGATCTCTACTTGTTTTTTCATATTAATATGGTGGATTCTGATTTGTGCAGTCTGTGTACATTTCTGTGATATTTAAATCTCTTTGTGCACTTTTTCAAATATGCAGGCTTATACAGGTTGAAATCTCCTTCAAGCTGAAAGGCATTGCTCTTCAGACAATCCATGCCCGTGAATTGCCTGACTGCTATGCATTTCAGAACACTGTAAGTGAACATGGGCTGAGGCACTTCCATCCCCGTTCATGTGAGGAGGGCTCAGGCTGGGGTGGAGGTATCACCCTCACATCTGGCCTGCAGGAGCTGCACAGCTGAGCATGTGCTGGTCCTACCCCTCCTTCCCAAAGGCTGCTGGAATGGTGCTGCCATGGGACAGTGCTGCTTTGTAACATATTCCAGCTGGTAACCTCATAACCTGAGAGAGGATAAGGAATTGTTCTTTACCTAAAGACTAAGGGTGAAGTTTGTTCTCTTGGAATACTGCTCTGTAGGCAGTACATGTCCTCTACTCAAATTATGCCTCATTTATGGTGGCAACTTTCTTAAAGCCTCTCTGATCAACAATATCAATGCATGCTGTGCCCAAGGCACTTAGCAGGATTTATTTTTCTGGAATGCAATCTTGCTACTCCTGTTTCTGATGTAGCTCTGTATTTTCAGATAACTTTCAACAATAGAGCCCACAGTGGAAAAATCAAGGTCTATTTTGACAGTGACACTGAAATTCAGGAGTGTAAAGACTGGCACATATTTAACTCAGGTAAGTGTGGTGCATGTGTGTTTGCAGAGCAGCACTTATGGGTGTCCCTTTGCTTTCCCTGGTCTGTGGCAGTCTGTCCAGCAGGACATTCCCCAGCCTGTTCATCCCCCTGCCTGTAAAACAATGCAACTTGCCTAATGCAATTCATCACCTCTTGCTAATCAAGAGCTGGGGAATAATCCCTTTTGTGAGGGTGTTGTGAGATGACATGGTCACCTCTGCATGCCAGTGTGTGTTACCAGTGAGCTCCACCTGCAAGGAGGGTGAATGTTTCTTCCATAGATTTGTAATTGTTGTGCTGCTCTGAGATAACTCAATTTAACCCGCTAACACTGGATACATTTCCAACTGAAGCCTCCTACCTCTTTCAATTTCATTTTCTTCTAATTGATTGAAGCATGCTATTTCTGAAAAGCTTGCTTTTGCTGTTGGCGCTTTTTTTGCCCCTGCTGGTAGATGAATGATGTGTATGAACAAAGGCTGGCACCTGCCATGCATTTCCAGTGTTAGGGCTTGGTCTGACAGCTCAGAAATGTGCACTAAAGGGCCCTTAAAGAAACAGCAGCTGTGGCAGACTGCAACTGCTTCTCCCATGTGGTGACTTTCTGTAAAGGACTGTGATGGAACAATATCTTTCAGTGGGCTATATAGTATCTGGATTAATAAATACATCAAGTGGCCTGCATTTTGCCTTGGCAAAGGCAGCTTTTCTCTGATAATGCTGTGTTGTACCCATATTAAAGTGGTAATTTATAGAATATTCTGAATAACCTCAAAGTGCCTTGCCTCAACTACCTGTTCCTGAGTACTTTATTTTGTGTCTAATCACCAGCTGAGGGAGCATGCATATTTCAGTAATAAAGGTGAGCTGAAGGGCTATTGCAATTATTAAAAATGAGTGTTTGCCTCTTTCATATAGTTAAAAATGTATGCTATGGAAAAGATAGGGACTGTTGATGTGAGGAAGCAAAGGACCTAATTTGTGTTCACATTATGGGTTTTAAATTTGTGGATGAAAAGAAAACAGTACGGAAAGTCCAACAAGTTTATTGCAGACTAAGGTGGGAATTTTTTAAAAATGTAATGGTGTTGATACAGACCAAATCTGCATTTCTTTTGCCTCATGTAGTTGTAACACTGTGGAAGCACAGATGGACAGGTAAAATGGAGGATACCTGTATTAATGTACCCATTTTTGGGTTTATTTTGAAGAACTTGAACATATTTTTCATTCTTGTGGCCCAGTCTCCATGACTGTCTTGATGTAATTCTCTGCTGTGTTCAAGATATGCTTGCAGGAAGAATATAGCTTGTAACCCATCTGCTTATGGGGTGAGAGTATTTGAATTGTTGCAAAATGTCACATAACTTGCATTAAAAGAGATGTGGAAAGATTTAACCTTATTTCCTTGTCTCTTCACAGTTCTCCAGAAGAACACTCAGTATATTCTAGTCTTTGATGGGTTTGTCATATTGAGTTGCTTGGCCTCTCTCATCCTGTGCACGCGATCCATCGTTCTTGCCTGGAGGCTGCAGAAGGTGAGCGCAGGGCTCGTGGCCCTGGTGCTGGATTGGTCTCTGCTGCTTTGCTGCTGGTCTTGTGAGGGGAACCTGCTGAAACATGGGGTATTAAAGTGAGAAAATCTCCTGCAAGATGTCCCTCTTACTGTTATCTCTAGGAAGGATGTGCAGGTATCTTGGTGGACAATTGCTAACTGCAAATGGATTTTATTTCTGCTTGTGTGGTGCTGTAATTTGAAGTATTTTGTTGTATCTCTCCATGGGCAAAAGAAGGATAATTTTTTTTACCCTGCCAGGATTTTAGACAGAATGACTTCTGAGTTTTTGTGCTGCAAACAGGCAATGTGTCCTGCACCTCCAAACCACAAATCTTTCTTCCCTGGCTTCAGAGTAGAATTCCCATGGAGGTCTAGTTATAAATTAATGCCTTAGTGAATATCCCTCAAAGCCAGCTCTAACTGGAGAAAATGTAAAGCACAGCACATAATCTAACTCTGGCTGGTTTTTTTGTAATCATGTGGCTCATGAGAGTTAGAAGAGTCCATGGCAGGTAGGCTATGAAAACACAAATACTTGTTTGTATAGCTCAATACATCCTCTTTGTAGCTTGGAAACAAGACCAAGAGTCAAGAGGACATGATTCAACAAAGGCATTGTCAAACTGCTCTCAGGAATAGGCACTTCACATTTATTCCTGAGCAAAAAGAGCAAGGGAAAGCAGATGGGCTGTGCTGGGCATAGAGGTGATATTGTTTGCTCTATTGGAAATGAGAGCTCTTGCCCTGTAGTTGCATTTGAGTTCTTTTTCACTTCTTTAGTTGGGTGCCTTGCTCTGTTAGAGGTGGATAGAACCTATGGTAAAGGGGATAACAGGCCATGGTTAGCTTGGTGGGAATGGATTATGAAATCAAGTGTTCTGTGGAAAGTTCATTTTCACTGGCCTAAATCCATCTTAAGTTTTTTCCTATTTATTTCTGTTGCCGTTGAGAATCAGCTTTAAATTACTATTCCAGTGAATACTATAGGAGAATGGGTTGTGTGGAACTTGAACATTGCCTTGTTTTTCATCCAAGGTGACCTGTAACTAATGATCTAAATGCTTGTCAACAGAGATTTGTGAATTTCTTCCTGGAGAAGCACAAGCACCGCGTGTGCTATGCTGACCGCCTGGAGTTCCTGAACGGCTGGTACGTCCTGGTCATTATCAGTGATGTCATGACAATCATTGGGTCAATCCTAAAAATGGAAATAAAAGCCAAGGTAAGAATCTCATACTTCAGCTAAAAAATTGCTAGTCTTGCTGCAACCATATGTAACGTGCTTTAATTTGGGGACAGGTGGAAGTGAGCTATAACAGTCAATAGTCATCTGTTTGCTTATTTCAGTCCATTTCCTAGTTTATCTAATAACTGCCTTTAGTCTCTCTTCCCCAGAGTCTTTCAGTAAGACCATGTAGGCCATTTGAACATCTTATTTCCAGTACTAAGACCCCGAGTCCCTGGTATGGGACCTGTGGTAGACAGTTCCTAACAGAAAGACCCAACAATCTGAGTTGTTCATTCTGTAAGAAGTAGCACATACAGGACTGGGGAGCCACGAGTCCTCCCCTTGAATGACACAGGGCTCTTGATGGCTTGTGGGGCTGGACACACAGCTGTCCCAGCCTGCTTTCCTGGCCAGCATTGGCACAGATAGTGTGTGACCTGCTCATCCTTGACCTCCCTGCCTGGGCTTGCTGAAATCAATGTGCTTTGTCCAGCTGGCAGGAGGATTTTGGGGTTGATTTTGTGGTTTTTTCTATTTTTTTTTTTTTTTTAATCTCCAATAGATGTGTGTCAACAATTCATGTGTCCACAAAACTTTGTGTTCTGGGAAAAGCAGAGTAGGTGGTGTGCTGCTCCTGCTTCATGTGTACTGAGGCTCAAAGGGCAGATCCCAGAGCGGCCTTCAGAGGAAGCACTTGGGAATCACTGGCTGTAGGTTGAGATGGGGATTGAGGGTAGGAAAACTTGAGCTAAATGGCTCTCTTGTGCCCACTGCAACCAGTTCTAGCCTTCTAAAGTAAAGTGCAAGTAGGTTTGGTTGTAGTAGAAACAATGCTGATGTTCTGATCTGCTGGCAGAGAACCTGTTCAGAGATGTAAATGCATGGAAGCATGGAAAGAGCTGTAGTCCCAAGGGTCACTTTTCATGTAAATGATGGCTCATGTGTTCTAAATAGTGAATGAGAGCTTCTTTGCCCAACAGCAAATAGTAACCTTCTTTTTAAACAAAAGTTTGGAGTTATCCAGTCTAATTTTGAAACGGTGTTGTAACCAAACTAAGGGCTTTTTTTCTTCCAGACTTTGTGCTTCATGTAAAATTTCAAGAATATCAGCATAGGTGTACTTCCCAAGTATTTGCAGTACTGTTGTGTTTGAATGATCTCAGTAAATAACTGCAGCTCACATTGATCTGATTTTTGTGATGTAGCAACAGGCTTTTTCAGTATTAGACTGTCCTGCTTTGTTTGTTTGAACTGCTGGAACTTGAATAGCTGTCAAGCTGACATATCTACTGCTTTGTAACTTGACCACCTGCTCTCTTTGGATCCCTCAGAACCTCACAAGTTATGATGTCTGCAGCATTTTACTTGGGACATCAACTCTGTTTGTCTGGGTTGGAGTCATCCGATACCTGGGATACTTTCAAACCTACAATGTAAGGAGAGAATCAAATGTCTAACAATTAAAGCTTATATATATATATATGCTTTTTTCCAGATCTCTGATTTTTTTTTGCTTTTTTCCCCCCTTCTTTGCTTCCCTCTGACTTGTAGGTGCTCATTTTGACTATGCAGGCCTCGCTGCCAAAAGTGCTGCGGTTCTGTTGTTGTGCTGGGATGATCTATCTTGGCTATACTTTCTGTGGCTGGATTGTCCTGGGGCCTTATCATGAAAAGGTACATCAGCAGTATCTCTCCTTTTGCGGTGTAATGATGGGAATATCTGTGTATGTGTGTATAGATCCTAGCCAAACCAACAGAAATGCGTTTTAAATGGAAATGTCTGTTTAATAGCTGTAATGTGAACATGGGAGTCATTCCATCTGTACCTCCTTCTACCTGCTCCTTTTAACAAAATAACTATTCTTGCTTTTACTGCGTGCTCAGCGTGCTCTCCAGCACCAGGCCGTTTTGGTGAGGGGATGGTTTGCCCGGGCCATGACCATTGGTCTGTCTCTTCTGCCCTCTTCTGGCAGTCCCACTTCAGCTGGGTTACAGAGGCACTAAATAGTTCACTGGAACTTTTTTTTTTTTAATCTCCTTGGCTCTGGCCTTGTTTTTCCAAATCTTTCCCGTGGCATGTAACTTCAGCTCTTAAATTGTGACTCATAGAGGGATGGATGAATGCTTGTCTTGTTTGCTTTGCTTCCTGTGTGGGGGCGTGCTGCGGGTTTGTTTGTTTGTTTTCTTAATGTTCATATCAAAGTGTGTGCCTGGTATGTCTTGTCTGCAACCTGGGTGCAGGAGTAAGGCTCTGTATATTCTAGAGCACAAACCAAAACAACCCCAAAGCTTGTTTGCTTTTCCTCTTGGCAGATGCTCTGTGTGGCAGTTTGAACAGAGGCAGATTCCTGTTGTGGCAAACTCTAAATGTCTGTTAATGACTAACAAATGTCTGACTCCTCGTTCTGGATTTCTGGGTGCACACAGTGTGTGTGTGACGGGGACATGCTGCAGTGCTTTTCCAGCTTGCTCTGCCCCCAGAGCTTGCATTGCTCCAGCTTACTGTAACTCCCCCTTTGGGCAATGAAGGTGTTCAGCCTGCATGTTCCCCCCAGAAATGACAATCCATTTCTCTGGGGGATGCTGGATGCAGAGGGATCTTCTGCCACATTGGAGGCTCAATTGTTTATAACATTATAAGGCACAGCATAATTACTGTTGTAACCTCCCTGCAACAAATACCTTATCTGAGCCAAAGGAGGGACATTCAGCAACATGCTTATCTATGAAAATGTTACCTCCTCCCTAAATGTCATGGATCAATGTCAAGGGAAGCAGCTGGAGCTCTGGAGGATTCCCGTTCCTGCCAGTTCCCCAGGGTCCCACAGGAAGGCAATGTGGCACTGTGCAAGGCAGCCCAGCCCAGGGCTGCCTCCCCGGGGCTCTCCAGCACTGAGCCCTCCTGGAAGACATGGGAAGAGTCTCCCTCGATGTGCAGAAACACTGGAGAGCTCCTTATGCTCAAAAATACAGAAATATACCCTCTGCTAGAGTCAGAGAGAGGGAGTGGGTGTCCTGCACTTCGTGCTATGTCAGTCAGGGGTTTCCAGGTGAGCAGCCCTTAGCAATGTCCCTGTGTCAGTGCATCAAAACTTGAGCTGCTCAAAAATTACCTGTGCCATGCCTCCTTTCTCCCTGGATAATGTACTGCTGAGTTGCACAATGGCTTTAAAATTAAATTCAAAAAATAGTAATAAAATAAGGCATAGGTGTGAACCAGACCTGCTGTTCTTGTGCATCAATATATTCTCCTTACAAGCATATACCTCTTGACATCTTGTTTTCATTGTGGGGCCACAGTTGTGTTAGTTCATTGATAATGCACAATGTTTTAATGTGGCTAAATATTCATATTGTCCATTAAATTAGAGTTAAGAAATCCAGTTATTTGGAAGGGCAGAGCAAAAGGGGAAGTGGACTTACCTGGTAGCTTCAGGACACATTCCAGTTTGGGGAAATGGAGTTGGAGTAAGAGACTGTCCTTGAAATTAAACCATGGTTTTTGCACAGAGTATGCTCCAGTAGCTTCATAATAAAGCTGTAGCTTGTACTTACAGCTCATAGAGGTCTCCCTGAGTGACAGATTGTTAATTCAGCTTGGACCATTTGAGTTCTGAAGGCTGTGCTGACTCTGGCCCCTGAACACAGTATTGATTTGTTACCCATACTCCAGTAATGCTGCAAAGCTGGGAAGCCAGAGAATGTGGGTGTGTTCCCAGCATGCTACCACTAAATAACTGTATAGGTTCTGTGAAATCACTTCAGCTGTGCTTTGGGAAATGGAATGATACTTTTCTGCAGGTCCAAAATTGCCTATAATTCAGTAGCTTGCTGTGGTGGTCAGTTATTGACTGTTCTGCCTGTTGAGCATCACAAGTTTTATTTCTTGATAATAAAATTTCTTGATAATAAATTTTCTTATGTCTGATCTCAACACTTCATGCTTAGTCAAGATGATAATTCTACATGTTTCTATTACTGATATATATTTTGGCCTGAATGGAAAGTGTGGTAGCATTTAATTGCCTGAGTTGGCTTTTTTGTCTGCTTTGAGTAAAACTCAGTCTTTGAGTCTTGATTGATCTTCACATTCTGCTAATAATTTGTACTCATTTTCTAGTTTGAGGATCTGAGCACAGTGGCTGAATGTCTGTTTTCTTTGGTCAATGGTGATGATATGTTTGCAACATTTGCTCAAATCCAAGAGAAGAGTTCCCTGGTGTGGATGTTCAGCCGACTGTATCTGTACTCCTTCATCAGTCTGTTTATATACATGATCCTCAGCCTTTTCATTGCACTCATTACTGACTCCTATGACACCATAAAGGTAAAGCATTTGTTTTCTGTTACACTTCCATTCAGTTTTGCATTCATTCTTGTTAATCACTCAACACCATGCCATCTACCATTGCTTTGGATGTGTGATGGGATTATTAAAATATTTTCCTTTAGTCTGTGGCAAAGGGTGGCTGGGTTTGCTTACATCTCAGAGATGTGCCTTTGGCAGGAGTTTGGAAAGGTTCAGGCAGATAACTCTAAAGTCATTTAGGTGTCCAGGCCTCCTTAATGTGCTGCTTAGAAATGTGTGGTTAAAAGGAAATGTCTTCTGAGAGGTGCACTGCTTCTCGTTCCAGTTAGAATTGTGCCATCCATTTCCAGTATGGACTGCCTGAAAGTGAACCTCAGTTCTCAGTAATTACCTTCTGTTCTGACCTCAGGTGCTCTCTGCCCTCTGTGCTGCTGGTGGCCTCAGTGGCCAGTGGGGAGGGAATGTGGATCCCACCCTCCAGCCCTCATCTCTTGCTTGTCTTGGTGTCACACACAGGCCAGCAAAATAATGCTGGTCTAACATGAACTACAACTTCCAGGCCAAGCAAGAGATTTACTTTTGAAGAACCCCAAAATATAGCTTAATTGTCTGTGCTTCTTAGTTTACTGGATGATCTGATCTGCAAAATGGTGTTGTACTGACTTCCCTCTGAGCATTTTACACAGATCAATTGGGAGTTGTCTCAGTATGCTGAACTTGTTTTTTCATAGCATTTCTTCAGCATGGCAATATTGAATAGTCACACTGGAACCCTTCAAATGCAGAATTAAAGGTTTTAGGGAAAAGGAGCCCAGGGCACTTGCAGTGAGAACAGCAGCTCACTGTGAACAAGGGAGAATCAATACCATCATGGCCTGAGATCACTTGCTTGGCCTTATGGACAGCAAACAAAACATAAGAATCAGTAAACAATGTGAATTTACACTGTTGGTGGAGCAAAGCAAGCTATGTAGTGTTTCTAGGATGGGAATGGATTCTTTCCTTCCTACAGACATATTGAATTATTGAACCAAATAATCTGGCTTAACTGTCACACTCTAGAGGAAATTTTAGAACGTTTCATGCCCAGTAACTTCTCATGTGTTGTAACTGAAATGCTTTTTCTTTCAGAAATACCAACAAAGTGGTTTTCCAGCAACAGATTTACATGAATTTCTAAAAGACCATAGCAGTGCTGGCTACAGAAAAGACAGAACTTCTTTTCCACTCATCTGCTGCTGCAGGAGGTCAGTAGGGTGTTTTTAATGAGTGTTTTCCTGAGAAGCACTACAGTTAGCTTCTCACTGCAAAATGCTGCTTCACGAATGCTGGAGTACCCAGAATTCAGCCTGGAAATATTTGGGTGCTGCTGTTCCTCCTGCACTTTACTTCATGTTAGATCTTCAGTCAAAGGCAGCAGTTCTGAGCTTGAACATGTTTTAACTATTACACTCTTATGAAAACTGCTATGCAGAAGCTGATGAGAGGACTGTGGGGTACAGCATAAACTACCAAGGGTTCTGGAGCAAACCAAGTCTTTGCTTCAAGCTGTCTGTTTCTAAAAAGCTTTGCTACTAAGCTTGGAGTAGTAGCAGAAAGTGAGAGGGTGATTCAGCCACAGGTGCTTGATCCCAAAACTATGCAGTGTCAGAGGCACACTGTTGGAATACCATCTGCCAGAATATTGGAAACTCACTGGTAAATGTCTTCTTGTAGGCATTGTGGCAGGGGTCGTTTTTAAGGTGGTGGTGAGAGACAAATGCCTCATCTGGTGCTTGCTGGTCTGCTTTAAATTCTGTTTCTGAGGCAGCATAACACAGCTCTGAAACCTGTTAGAGACAGGAGGGGCCTTGTCACTGTCCCTAGATAGTCCAGGATAATCCATTCATGTTCACAGAATGGTTGTGGGCACTGTGCAAGGAAGCCAGGCTGTGGGAGAATGAGCAGACTATAATGTGAACACTTAATCACAACTGGTGTGACAAATCCCTTTCTAGCAGTAGGATTGTTGTCTAATGATATACTGATGCTTTTGGGAGATGCAGTTTTATACTTTTGGTGTACCCTGGCAGAAAGGGACCCATAGCCACAAAAGGAACATGTGAGATGATGATGATGATGATGGGCAGGTATCCTGCTGGGGGCACACAATGAAAACCAACTAATTCACAAGAATTCCAGCTTCAGGTTTCACCTGCAAGTCACTGTGCAGAGTGAGAGATTTGTGTGCTTGAGCATAATAAACATAGACCATAATATGCTGTACAGTACTGAGGGCACAAGCCTGGTGATGGAGTGATAATCTTTAGCTTTTGCTGCTGTGGGAGGTTTTGCATCATTGTCCAGTGCAGGAGTCAGAGTTGTATGTGGAAATGGGAGAGCAGAGAACAGAAGGATCAAAACTGAGCTCATATGGGTAGGTGCTTCCTGTTGCATTTCTTGCTGATTGGAGAATTGTGAATTTTTTCTTTGCAGACAACAGAGTGATGACAACTTGATACTTATCAATTGATGGCTGCACATTGAAATTCACTACTGATATATGCAAAGAGAGTATAGTGGTGTGGAGAAGGATAATTCTCCAAATTGCAGTGGAACCTACCCTCTGGGTCTGCCTCATGAACAGACTTGTCTTAGCTAATTCAGGTTTTGGGGGAGAAATCTATTGATTTGACAGCAGCTGGCTGACCAACAGGAGACCCAGAAGCTGTGTCTGGAGGAGAGCTGTGAAGAATTCTGTATTCTTGCCTCAAGTTCTGTCATGTTAGAGAAGACTGATCCTTGAGCATTGTCTGTGGAAGCTCTGTTGGCTAATGACATTGGGGAGGAAGGAAAATGGCCTTGAATCAACTGCTGTTAATAAGAAAAAGAATTATGCAAAAATAATTTTTAAAAAATAATCCTGTGTTTAAAAGTATTAAATAAAAAGAAGTCATGAAGGGAGGAGTTTATCACTTAACTTGATGCATTCAGCCTGTCATTTCTACTTGGCACATTTCATTTTTTGGGATTAAATTTATGTAAAACAAAAAAGCTGCACAAAAGTGGAAAATAACTGTTGTTTTCCCTCATGTATATAATTTTACCACAAACCACTTATAGGTCACAATCTTTTCTTTAACAGCTTTACTAAAAAGCAGTTTGTTATCCTTTTATCTTTTTTGGCTGTCTTTTCTATTATACCCACAGTATTGATTTATACTGTGTCCAGATTCAACTTACTGCTTTAGCTATAATTAAATACTTTTACAGGGTAGAAAACTTTCATGGTAAGCCTTATCTGAAGACTGCTGGAAATATTTTTTTTCCTTCTTTTTTTTTTTTTTTGGTAACATTATACTGTTGTATTGTCATAATCCAGAGGACAAATTCAGACAAAACCAGTGCCATTGAATTTTGCTTCTATTTCAAGCACGTGTTAATTGGAAGAAAATATGTGGCAACTGAGCCTTGCAGTTGGTTTGTTCAGGTGACTTTCTACCTGTCTTTGGGATGGGCAGCTATAAAGACTGTACTTTCCTTTTGCCTCTTTATAAGCTTTATTCAATGAGAACAGACAACTTTGGGGAACTTTAAAAGCACTTCCAGGATAGTAGTGCATAAATGTTAACCAGGTACTTCTGGAAACTTCCAGGGATGCTGGCAGTTCCTGGGGTGGGTGTACTATTACATGAGAAGCTCCACTTGTGTCTCTGCACTACTTGCTCTCTAAAAAAGCCACTCTTCAGCAGGTGATGTCAGTGTGTTGGTTTGGACCAGTCTTGCTGTGTGTTCTTAACTGCTAATGGTGCTCTCTGCAGCTTCTGCCTTGTCAGTGTTTCAAATGGCAAAGGCAATTCAAAATGCTGCCCTGATAAGAGTGAGATGAGTGGCAGCTTTTTTTTTTTAGCCCCTTTCTTTTGTTTATTTTAATCTCCTGCCTAGTGTTTACATTTGTAACTATTATACTTCTATTGTTATTGTTGAAAGTGAATGCCATTGCTTTGGCTGCAGCTAGGTGTCTAGAACAGATTTTTGGTGTCAGGATTTTGCTGCATCCAGGTTCTGCACATTTTAATGCTTCTATTGCTGAGATGTATTTGGGACAGGGAATTTTCTTTCCATCCCAGATGTGCAATGTGTTGCTGTGGCCATAACTGAAATTGCTACCAATAACCAAGACATTGTGCTCTTAGCAAAGATTTTCTCTAACAGTCTTTTCATAAACTGTGTGATCTAGAACAGAGCATTGCTGTCTTCCACTGTTGACAGAAGAGCCAACCTTTCTACTGGTGTTTATTTGCAGAACTTGTTTGGGGCAATGTTAGTATTTTGGTGTGTGCTCTGGGGCCCTGGATAACCCAAGAACTCTTCTGCAGACTGCAGGAGGGTCAGCATCAACTGGCTGCCAAGGTTCCCCTGTCCCTTACAATGTGCAGTCTATTTGGTGATGTACAAGATGCTGATGTTTTCTGAATTTGCAGCTATTTTACTGGTTAGCTTTCTGGAGTGCCTCTTTCTAAATCAAACATTTTAAATCCATCATGTCTGAAAATGAACTGAGTTTTCCTTACTGCTGTGCCCTCTGCCAGTACTGGCAGAAATCTTGGGTTAGAGACTGGAACCTAGCAGAAGCAAATGGTAAAGCAAGTGTGTGGGTAATTAGTGGTGTAAGGCATGAACAATGTAACAGGCTCATCCCCTCCAGGGGCCGGCGCCTCCTGGGGCAGCTGAGGTGCCTCCCCTGCCCCTGACACCGAGCCATGGTGCAGGAGCTGTGGCTCTTTCTTAATGTGACCTGCCAAAATCACTGCTCACATGAATACTTGTTCGTGAGAGAACCCCTCAGGGAATGAGGGAAAGCACTATCAACAAAAGAAATGCAAAGAATACTTAATAATTCTTAAATGTTTTTAAGACTTGATTTCTGTAATGGAATCGTAAGGCTTTCTTGTCCAGTATTGATTTTTTATTATTTGAATCATATGAAATGCTTGCTAGCTAGACTGCTGCTTCAGCCCTACCATATTGGAGCAGGTCACTAATGTGCTGTAGAAACCACTTTTTATCTTCACCACCTGGTGTTCTGGTTTTTTTCCTCGTGAAAAAGAAGATAAGACACACTTGCTGGAGGCTATTACTGTCTCTCTGTTCCACAGAGGTGAAACTTAACAGGAAATCTGGCATATGTTGACTCTGAATTCTGCACATTAATACAGATTTGAACACAGTTGCTGGCTAATAGGTGGTCCCACTCCAGCTGCTAAGGAGGTAATGCACAATAATGGAAGCAGAACTGGAACATAAACTTTTGCAAAGTGCTCTAAAAAAGGGATGTTGCCTTTCGTAGTCTAATTCTTTGGGAATAGGAAGCTTTTGCTAATTGCTTATAGGACTTAACAAAAGGAGGATAGAAATGGATGAGACAATGAGAAGCTTGATGAGACTTGGACAGGAAAGAAGAGAAGATAATTTCCTAAGCCATCTTCAAGGTGAGCATTCAAGTGAGGGGAACAGGGTCAATAAGATTTCAGGCTCTTATTCTGAGGTTTTTATTTTCTTTTTTGTTTAAAACAGAAAAAAAATTCACATGGAGTCTGTTTGGCATTTCATATATAATGTTCACGTGCAAGGTTGTGCCTAGGCTTTAGCACCTAAGTTTCATGCTGTAATTGTTACCAGGATTTCTGGGAAGTGGGACAGAGATCTTCTGCTGAGATTTTGTTTAGTCAGTTCAGCTCTGAGCAGAGCTGTGCGTAGGTCTGCGCTATTGGGCATATGCCTGCCCTCAGTAAGTGATCGAGGTGGGTAACAACGGGTCAGATCTGCTTGATCAGAGGCATCAGATAAATGTGATTCTGTACTACCGTCTACTTTTGAATTTGGCTTGTCTTTGCAAAGCTGTGTGTGCTCACTCCGGCCCCTTGGAGGTGGCATGAGCCGCCAAGTTTCTGTATCACACTGCTGGGTGTGAAATGGTTCTTGTTTGCTTTTTACTCTGTGTTTCAAAGAACAGCTACGTGTGGTGCTCTACTGTCTGTACTGTCCGGATGTATTCGCAGAAATTATTGCAATTTTATCTGGGTTTTGCATTTGTTTCCTAATGTGCGAATGATGATGGACCTTCTGACGGGCTTTTCGGGCGGCACAGCCCTTTGGGCTTGTGCAGCTCGGGGGTCTCGCTAGCGTTCTCCTGCCGCCCGTGCCGGGGGAGAGCCAAACCCTGGTCCCGGGGAGAGAACGAAGTCCTGGGCGAGCTCTGCCGGTCTCGGGCCGGGGGCAGGTGCGGGCGGGGCCGGACGGGTTAAGGCGGCGGGGCGGGCCGGGGCGCGGAGCGGGGCGGGCGGGCGGGCCCGCGCTGGCGGCGGCGCTGGCGCTGCTCCGCTCGGACCGGGGCTGCCGCTGGGTGAGTGGGGCCGGGGCTACCGGTGAGTGGGGCCAGGGCGGGCAGGCTCAGCCCCTGCCACCGACCGGACCGCGGGGCCGGGCCGGCAGCTCGGTGAGGGGGCAGCGGTGGGAAGGAGCGCTGTTACTGCGGGCTGGACGGGCTCCGCGAGCAATGCGCCTTTGCTCTACGAGTCGGGCTGGTAAAACTTCTTCACTTCTGTAAAACTCTCTGCGGTGGTAGCGGAGCCCCGGGCCGTGCCGGGGAGCGGAGCGGGCAGTGCCCGGAGCCAGCCCGAGCCCGGCGGGGCAGAGCCCGGAGCGCCGCCCGAGCCCGGCGGGGCAGTGCCCGGAGCGCAGCCCGAGCCCGGCGGGGCAGAGCCCGGAGCGCAGCCCGAGCCCGGCGGGGCAGTGCCCGGAGCCAGCCCGAGCCCGGCGGGGCAGAGCCCGGAGCGCAGCCCGAGCCCGGCGGGGCAGTGCCCGGTGCCTGGAGCCAGCCCGAGCCCGGCGGGGCAGTGCCTATAGCCAGCCCGAGCCCGGCGGGCACAGCCGGGGCTGTCGCTCTGTCCCGGACAGACGCCGCGGTGTGTGCGGGCACGGACACGCGTTCAGGAGCACACACGTGAGTTTCCAAGCATTCGAGACTCCCCTCTCACAGCCCTGGGCGCGGGTCCTGCCCTGCTGGGGCGCGGGCGGCTCGCACGGACTGCGGGCGCCGGCAAAGGTCTCGTGTTAAGCGGTTTTTTAATACGGTGTTATCTTATTCCATGCAATACACCGAAAAAATACACTGCGTTATTTTGCAGGATACATTCTTTCCCTTAGGGAAACAAAGTCGGGGCCGGGGGTAGAGGGAGAGGAAGCAGTTTTGTACCCTTGGGTTTCCAGAGATCATGTACTTGGGTCTGCTCTCCTATCTGTGATATGAGTTTAGAAAAAGACGTTTCTTGTTGCAGACTGGTAAGCTGCATTGCTGTAGCTTTGTTCTTTAAGCTGTGTATGTCGTTTCTTGCATACTCTTAAGGTCTTCAAAAAGTGCAGTAGAAAGCATAACTCAAATCCAGTTATACAGTGAAAAATCTGATTTCACTAAGCTTATCTCTGTACTGAAAATTAAACTAAAAGGAAACAAATCAAACAGCCCCACAAACCAAATCTGCATGATCAGTAAAGAAGCAGCAATTCTTACCACCATGCAAAGCTGAGAGATGTATTTAGGTTTTTTTTCAGAATGCTAGGTAAAAGTTTCAGACAAATTAGACTGGCTGTGTCCTTATCCTCCAGTGCTACACTGACCTTTTAGGAATGTCTTACAGCATAGGCTTTATGCTATCAGATAATGCAATAAAATCTGTGCAGTATATGATTTGATGCTCTAGAGAATGTGTTTATCTTGGGTGTTAAAGACTGACATACCTGAATTTTACGATTATGCCATTAGGCTAACTTCTATGTCTTGAGCAAAAAGGTCTTGGAGTGTTTTATTTCTAACAGCTCCACTGACACATTTGCTTGTGAACCCAGGCTCTGAGTCTCTTAAGAGATCAGATGCAGTCAAGTAACTTCTTTTAATCAGCAGTGGTGTGATTTAGGTCCTCATCAGTATGTCCTGAAAATAAACAGTAAAATTGACTTGTTTGGGACTGTGCTGAAATAGTCTGTGTTGCATTCTGTAGGCTTTGTAAAGAAAGCTGATTTGTTGAATGGTAAAATGGAGCTGCTAGTGATCAGTGAGAGGACCTGGAAGTTCTGCAGAAATGGGAAACTTACTTTAGAAGCAGAACAGGTATTTTCTTCTAGGCATGTTTCACAATGTATAGGCTGTTTGAATGACTTTTAAATACTTCAAATGCTGTGTCTGTTTCCGCATTATAGGATGACCTGCCAGCTCCTTCCAGAACCACACTTAAAGGAGACTAAATGAAGGCTTTGCAGCAAAGTTTTTAGTTTGAACTCCATATATAGATCTAGTAAACCATAATTTCAGAAAGTCTTAAATTACCAAAGTCTGAAGTCTAAACTTGTGGTAACTAGTGAGTTACTTGCTATCTGTCCCTAACAAATTCCTGCAATGTATCAGAGCTTTCAGACAATTTAGTGCATTAGAGCAGCTTTGTGCTAAAGGGATTTCAGGAGCTGGAGCCTGAGCTTTGTAGTACCTAGGTGGAGGTGCCCCTGTATCCCTGTGTCACAGTTCTATTGTCAGTGACAGCCTGCAGCAGCTTGCAGAGGAACAGCACTGTCACTGACATGCACAGGATGACTCTTGTGTGACAGTGATTTTAAAGCCTCTTATCAGACTGTGTGTACAGAGCACTGTGGTTTGCGGCTGGTGGTGCTACTTCCTCTCTCTGCAACTCTAAATATTTAGTCTTGAGAGTTTGGTAGGTTTAATACTTTTCTTGAGGCTCTCTATTTGTACCATATTGCATTGGTATGCTATATGGTATCTTTTACGCAGGATGTATGGTAAATAAAAACCTTAAATATTTCTTTCCACCACAGATAATTAAGAGTTGCCAAAGAGTAATCTCCATTCCTTTTACCCCACTCCCTTCCCAGTCCAAAAGATGACACCACAGAAATGGACTATTACTGGAAATATCCAGAACTGTGGTGGAAGTATGAGTGCTGCTGTACTTTCCATAAGTTAACATTATGTAAATGAAACAGGCTTGGAGAGAAAATGGATGTGGCACTTTGCTCTCCTTAGTCTAAAAGGTATTGAAGACCAAGGTAGTGGGATAATGCTGCTTGGGAGTGATTGGTTTGAGTTCAGCAAGTTATCTGAACTTGGAGATACTACAGTTAAAGAAAAAAATAAAGCCAAACAAAACCACAAGTAGATTCCCTTACTTATAAGCAAGTTGTCTGGTTGAAAAACTTATTCATTTGGCCTCATGGTTTTTTAGTAATAACTTTTTTTTTTTTTTTAAATTTGTAAAGCTGCATTTAAAAAATGTTTTTGAAAAATGACATTCTCAGGTCCTTGAAGTGTACTGTGTACCATGCTGTTTCAAGTACAGGCAGTGCCTGTACGATTCCTGTAATAAACAAAATGTAAAACAGTTGCATTTCTGAGATAATTTGTCTCTGTAGGATCTGTTAAATGAATGTTGGCTTCAATAACGTCCTCTAGTAGTACCAGATGAAAAAAAAAATCTTTAGTTTAGATATATTTGTATGAATAATTTTGTGTTCTTCATGTGCTTCCTTTCAGTTTGTTTCTCTAAATTGATTTTGGTTATAATATCAATAAAATATTAAAGGCAATTAAAAGTGAGCCAGAGCACTTACCTCACAAAACTCTTCCTTACAGTTACATATTAACATTTTTGGCTTCTGCTTTGTTACACACCCTTTTCTGCACTGGTATTTCTTTCTAAGCTGAGGTAACCTGGATGGGTTTCTTGGGTTACTGTGCAATCATTGGGTTGTGTTTTCCTCCCTGGCCATACATGTAGCAGGGTGTGGAGGGGAACAAGGAACCAATTCCCATTGTGAGCTGGTGCTGCTGCTGTGGCTGCCCAGCGCCCTGCCTTCCTCCTGCCTGTGCCTTCCTCTGGGGAACGAGGTGAGCGAGGGCTTTTCAGTAGCGAGAAAATCAAAAGCAGCAGGGGTGGTTTATCCAGCAGAAGAGGGCAGGACAGAGGGTGTCTGTGTCTGCCTGTGGCACAGGGTGCAGGCAGGCAAACGTTGTGCTCTGGGGAGCCCTGGCTGCAAACCTCCAGACACGCCTTTTGTGCTGCTCTGCAAGAGCCATCTGCTGCTTGTAGGGTAGATTTAAACAGCTGAAGGAATGTGTGCAAGCAGGCAATTGCTGCTGATGTTTCTCTGCAGTGACAGTCTGAATGTGCAGAGAGTATTTCACAGTGTGCCACCTGTGCCTGTGATCAGTCATTGTGATAAACTCAGAGCAACTTTTGTGATAAGTTTCAAAATCTTTTCCGCAGAGCAACTTTTGTGATAAGTTTCAAAGTCTCTCAGAGATCTGTATGTAATGCCTGGTCTGTGCTGATGGAGAAGGGGAGCCAGGAGGCCCAGTGCTCGGGCAGGGCTGGCAGGCTGCCGGCTTGGCAGGCTGAGCGTGGGCACAGCTCTCTGCTCTGCCATCTCACAGAGCTGCCCTCACAGGGCTGTGCTCCCTCTGGGATCTCTCCTGCTCCACTGTGGCTCCTTTGGCTGTTGAACTACCCTGAAATTCTGCACAGAAATTCCTGTGCCAGCTCAGTGAGCCAGGCTGCAGTTCTGCCTGGGCACACACCCTCCCTCTCCCCTGAGATGGCTTTCTGCCCTGCTAAAGGGCTAAACCTCTTTTGTCCTCTTTGTAGGCTCAGTTTTGCTCTCAGGACCTTTCAGTCCATCGCCAAAGCTGGCTTGAATCCTCTCACTGTGACTTTCTGTCTGCTCCTTTTGCATTTATGCAGAAACAGGACAGAAGCCATCAAAGCCCCCCAAACTGACGCCAGCCCTTCAATAAAGTTGTAGCCAATGTATTGAAACATCTTGGTTTTTAATGGACAGGGAAGAAAACCATGGGAATGTGCCTTGAATTACATTATGGCTTGCAGGCTAAATTTTATAATGACTTGATCGTTAAAATACTATTTGTTTTTTTCCTTCAGAAATGCTTGCATTAATAATGAGGAGCTCAACTTAGAGCTGATTTACAGGCGAGATTTAATTTTTAATCAAAATTACTTAAAGCTAATTTTAATCACAGTTTCAATCAGCAAAATCCTTGACTTAAACCAGCAAAATCCTTGACTTAAACAGCTGATATTAAATCTCATTATAAATATAAAGATTTTCAGTGAATTTATTGAAGCAAACAAGATTCCAATTGAATAACAACCATTAAAGCATGCTAGCTTGCAACTAGCCAAACCTTTAGTCAAAAACATAATTTAGGTGTTGTTTTATTTCACTAACTCTTTATTCAGGTAGCTGGTGTAATATATTCCTACACAATCATGCAAATTCTTGACTTTTATTTAAAGAACAGTGAAGAACATATCCTGACTTGGTAGGAGTTATACTGTCATAGAGGAATTTATAAGCAATTAAAATATATACATCTGTCATTAAGACAAATAATGCTCAAGATGTTATATATTGGGAAGAATTCTTGAAGTGTGCTTTTAAGTTTGAAAACAGTTTAGCTAAAATGCCAAATCCTTTGAGATTTTTGGAACAGAGGATTTTTCCCACTCAAAAAAGAGAAAAAGCTTGAATGTTTACTCAAGAGCGGTATTGGAAAATGCAGTTCATAGTCCATCAGTTTGTGGTCTTTTTGGCTACTATTGGTCGAAATGAGGTAATTAAATAAGTTGAAATGAGAGAAAGAACCTTTTAGACAAGTGTATGTTTTTGGCACTTGACAAGTTTTGATGTATTTGCCTGCAAGTAAAAGAGCAAGCTGTTAGCTCAACTCCCCTGCAGAATATGCAGTATGTGATAACTGCTGGAGTTCTGCATGAGGGGATAGGAAACACCAAGTGGTGTAGAACAGGTGAATAGAGATTATCTGCTGTCCTTTCTCATAAAAACCCAAGAACTGTCAAGCTTGGGAGAGCCAATTTCAAAGCAGAATAAGGCAATTCTTCTTTAAGTGAGTAGCACAACAGGAGAGCTCTCTGCTGCAAACTCTGGATGACTCTCCTGCCTTTTTGAGTCTGGACTGACAAGTTTAGCTGTTTTTTTAATAACTGAACAATATTTCGCCTGAATACTCAGATTCTTGTGTACTTAATAAACAGATCTGAAATATGTAATATTTTAGGATTATTTTTAATAAAGGGTTATATTTAAGGGTTATTTTTTTCTTCTTAAGTTTAAACCTGCCCTGATTAAGGTAAACATCTCTGATCTGACTGCAGAAGAGAAGACCTGGAGAAGAAAGCCCTGCCAGGACGTGTCACATGCCAGGAACTATGGAATATCCCATCCCTGTGCCTGCTGTGGACTGGGGCAGGACCACTGAGGATCCAGCTGCATAGCTCTGTCCCAGCTGAACCAGGCTCGTTCTGCTGGGAGGGCTTCAGATGAAGGTGTGAAGAAAACCTTGCACTGTCTGCAAGGCCTCTGGTGTGTAAGTGCTTTTTGCACCCAGGCTGGTGCAAACATCCGCGTGCTGCATCTCCGCTTTGAAGGACTGGGATGTGAACTTGCTCCAGTTCAGCTTCTGCTTTGGTGCACCTTCCATGTGGAAATCTCCAGGGTCTGCCCTGTGACTCTGAGACCTCAGCTGGATGCTTTTGTGCTCCTTCTCATCTCACCTCAATACCTCAAGACATCTCTTTCAAAATCATTTGTTGTTTGAGCTCTGCTGTGTGACAGTAAGTGTTTGTAGTGTAATTATTTCAGTGGAGAATTATGGATGTGTGAATGGGTCTTTTTCTTTGGTTACTACTTCAAATAAGGATGGGACCTCATTAAGCTGAAGTATTTAGAATAAATTCATAGCTGATATTTTGGATTTCTTTAAGCTTTTAAACAGATGAGATGCAAAAAGCATCTGTAGATTTCTTTATTCTCCAGTCACTGCAAGCAAGGGATTCATCTGTTGAGATGATTACACAGTAAGATACAACATGTTCAGAAAACCTTCCCTGTAATTTTCACAGTTTTGGCTTTTTGGGATTTTTTTTTTTTTCTTTTCCCTGCCATTCTTGCCCAAAATGCTGCTTCTATTTGCAGGCATTTGGGCTGCTCTGTAAAAGCTTAATGTCAAGCTCAGTGAGTCCTTTGGTGCCTTGATGTGTTAGAGCAGAGGCTTCTCTGCTGGCAGGGTTCCCAGCACTGGGCTACTCCAGTAGCTGTTGTCTGCAGCTCCTCAGGGACTTGTGGTCCCTTACAGAGTGGATTTGATTTTTGAGTAGCTCCTAGGTGAGAATGGGGAATGTGCTGACTGCCCAACTCCCCCTTGTTCCCTGAACAGGGAGCAGTGGGCGTTGAATTCCTGTTGACTCATTGCAGTGGATCTGCATTGCTGAGGCTTTTTTATTTTTAGATGGATGCTCTGTAATATTTCAGCACAAGGGATGATTTACTTGTTTCCTTCCACTTCATGTCCTCAAGTAGCTGTTCTTAGTTCTGACTATGTGTTTAAATTTGATGCTTTAAGTAATAGTCTTTTGTAAAAAAAGTGGCTGGCCAGGTTCTTGAGGGTAATAAAATGGACAATGTCAAGTGGCCTGCTTTCATGTTGACTACTAGGTGAGAATTAAGAAAAATCAAGGAAAAAAGGCTAAGGAGCTAGTTCAGAAAGATGGAATATTAAAAAAAGATAAATTTCCTGAAAATATTCACTATGGAATAGTGTCATTTGATGTAATATTACTGTAAATATTGCATGAAATAACACAGGTAGCATAGCATAAATGATAAAAGATGGACCATTTTAGTTCAAAGCTTGGAAGGAGCCTTTAATATAACAGAGGTGCATTAACCAGAGTGCTGAGGATTGTTTAATTTGCTTCCCAGTCCCTGGGCAGATGAGATTTAACTGTAAAATAACCACAGGGTAATAACAGGCTAAGTGAACCTGATGTTTATCTGCTAACAATTTTAGCTGCAGAGGTAGCAGGCCTATGCTTTTAAAATCTTTCTGCCTGTAACCACCTCATCTAGGTTTTTTGTTGGTGCCACTCTGTATAGTATCTAGCATTTTGTGCCATGGCTGTGTTCCTGGGTTTTGCTAAAACTATACAATATCTCTTAATGAACTGTTAAAATCTTTCCTCAGAAACTGACAGTGAATGTGAGGGATGGTGATGGTCAGACACAAACTCTCCCTTCTGAGCTATGAGACCCTGCATGGGCTCCAGCAGCCATGAGTGATTGCTGTCAGATGTCCTGTGTGAATTAGTGCAGGTTCCGTTTGGTTCATAAAAAAGGCAGGGAAGTTGCCAAAGCAGCTGACATTGACCTCATCAGAGCAGCACAAGTGTGATGTAAGCTGGAACTTGGACTCCCTCTCCATCATCAGGTTTAATAGCCCTGTGTCCAAAATAGTGCTGAGTGGGTAAATAAACCCCAGCACTACTGCTGCTCCTGGGGCTTGCTTTAACCTGTGGTTGTGTAGGGAGCTGGGTTTTAGTTTTAAAGATAACTGGGCTGTGTGGTGCTTGAGAGCCCAGTAAAATAATTCCTGGCTTTAGACTAGTCAAAGATCTAGAAAATATTTTTCTCTTTTCAGCACATTTACTGAAGTTCTCTAGTAGTAAATAACAGATATACACTCAGAATATATGTGCATGTAGTATCTTATATACATACCTTTTTACATTTATTAATATATAATTGAAAAACCAAGAATTAATTTTTCTGCAATGGGTCTTTTATTACTTAGTCAGTAGAGTGGAAGGGTTATGATTTATGCTTCCCTATCCCAACTGGCTGTACTGAGAAATGGAAATAATGATGGGCCTGTGGCTCAAACATGGGATTTCACAGCAAAAATGGCTTGGCTGTTGCTCAGATTTTCTCCATGACCTCCAGAAAGTAATTTTTTTAACTTCTACTTTGTTGCTTGTACAGTACGACTGCTAGTGCAAAAGAACTGTGCTGGAATTTTTTAAGTAGGAAAATCTTTTTAAATTCCTGATTCAGCCAAGCATCATGCACTGTGGTCCTCCAGAGTATCTTCTGTATCCACCCTGTACAGCTTGAATTTTTACTTCAGGCGTCCCGTGTCAAGCACCCTCTCATGTCCCTGTCACAACCCCTTGTCCCCCAAAAAGGAAGGTATGGTGGTTGAAGCAAGGACTATTAGCTGATTGTCAATCTTCCCCCTTTTTCCCTCCCATCCTCCCTAGGATGCAGGGCCTTTAATCCAGGATGAACGAATGCTACTATGACAAGCGCATGGACTTTTTCTACAACAGGACAAAGGCGGACACGGCGGATGAGTGGAAAGGGCCGCAGCTCATCGGTGTTCTGTGCTTTGGCACCTTCTTCTGCCTCTTCATTTTTATCTCAAATTCCTTGGTCATAGCAGCTGTGGTGAAGAACAAGAGGTTTCACTTTCCCTTTTACTATCTTCTGGCCAACCTAGCAGCTGCAGACTTTTTTGCTGGAATCGCCTACGTGTTCTTGATGTTCAACACGGGCCCGGTGTCGAAGACGCTGACGGTGAACCGCTGGTTCCTGCGCCAGGGTCTGCTGGACACCAGCCTGACGGCGTCCCTGGTGAACCTGCTGGTCATCGCCGTGGAGCGCCACATGTCCATCATGCGCATGAAGATCCACAGCAACCTCACCAAGAAGAGAGTCACCTTCCTCATCATATCCATCTGGGCCATTGCCATTTTCATGGGCGCCGTTCCGACCCTGGGCTGGAACTGCCTCTGTGACATTACTGTCTGCTCGTCCCTGGCACCCATTTACAGCAGAAGCTACCTGGTGTTCTGGAGTGTCTTAAACCTGGTTGTCTTCTTCATTATGGTGGTGGTTTACATAAGAATCTACATGTATGTCCAGAGGAAAACCAACGTCTTGTCTTCACACACCAGCGGGTCCATCAGCCGGAGGAGAACCCCTGTGAAGCTGATGAAGACTGTCATGACTGTCTTAGGTAAGAGACCACAAACCATGCTGGGCAAGGCTGGCAGTGCCAGTGAATTGCCAGTGTTGGTTTGGTTTAGTTTTTATTTGAAACAAACCAACAAAAAACTCCACAAAAATTGTTCCGCCCTCCTAACACAAAGAAACCTCACTGAACTTTTAAGTGCTGGAGGCATTTAGGCTTCTGTTTACTTTAGACACTGAAAGAGCTGTTGCACTGTGCAGAAACATGAGACAGAGGACTGGTCAACACATAGAAGAAAAGTGTAGGCACCTTGTTACAAAACACAAATTTTGAAGGTAAAGGTTTTTGGCTGTTTTTTTTTTTTAAGCAGGAAGATACCAAATCATTTTAGATAAAGGCTTGTGAAGGTTTATAATTACTTAGTAGAACATTTTCAAAGTAATATTTTTTAGTACTTGCAGAAGGCCATGAGCGCTAATGTTGGATGTTGATAGTTTTCTTTGCACATCTTCCTCTTGGCTGTTTCCTGGGCATGGAAACTTCTTCCCCCTGGAAATGCACCCTCCCCGGGGAAAGGAGAGAATGGCTGGTGGGTCTGTGACTTTGGCAGAGGTTTGCTTTTCAAGGGAAGGATGCACCTTCATTCTGTGGATATTGCATGGTGCAACGTACTTTTAGATAATGATGGTACAGTCTAGCCTTAGATCTCTAAATCATAGCATGAGATTTGCCCTGGGTTCTAGCCTAAAGGCACTGTTGATACTTGAGCAGCTCAGATCACTTCATCAGGGAATTGTGATGTAGTGCACATTAAATTAGAGATGAAAGGATCAGGTGACTGATCCTTGGAACAAATACCAGCTGTAGCAGTCGATTTTCTCCAGAATGACTTAAATCTGAGCAAGATGTGTCCTGGAAACCAAATATTATGTCAGCAGGGCTCCAGGTGCAGCTGGGGATACGCTAAGACGTTTGTGAAGCTGGGCTCAGGTGGTGGTGGACTCTAACCCACAAATATGGCTTTGTTGCTCTGACAGCTGTTCTGAGGTTGGATGAGCCAGTGCAGCAGAGCTGGAGCTTTTGGGAAAGGTGGTGGTCATGTGTACCTGGTGTGTCATACTGCAGCATGGTAGTATTAGAGAGCTCTGGGAGAAAAGTGTAATTTTTCACGGAGGTAGGACTTGCCAGGGTAAGAAGTTCAAGTTGAGGACACTTTCTTTCCCTTGCAGTTTTTGGATGCTCTTTGAACTGTTTGGTATCTGATTTTATTGGTTTATTTCTGAAATAATATCTGCTATTTAATCAGATATCTGCTGCTTAATATCTTTGTCTACCAAATGATCTCTTAAAGAGCTTCAGAAGCTGAAATCCATTAAATTTCACAGTGCTTGACCTTGTAAAAGAAAGTATGTACAAGGTTCTCACTTATACTTCTGTGTCTTCTGGAGTTGGCTTGTCCGCTGCCAAAGCCTTTTCCTTCTAAACCATCTCCCAACTGTTCTTTTTTGAGAGTCAATTTGGTGGTTGTTCCTGTCTCTCTGCCCTTGACTTGCAGGAGCAAGATTTAATCTTTTGCCCCACCTAAGCTCCCGTGCAGTGAAACCTAAACCATCCACCTGGAAGGAGAAAATCCCTGCAGGAAAACTCTGAATTGCTCCAAATATGATCCTGCCCTAATGCATAGGGATGAGTAGACTCTAGATAACTGCTGCATTGGACAGAGACAGAAAGCAGAGCACTTTTAAAAAGCTGTTTTCTGGGCATTTCTGCTGAAGGCAGGACTGCACCCTGCAGCCAGTGTGGGAGCTGGAGGGACAGGGGTGGTGGCTGCCATTCCCTCATCCCTCAAGGTCCTTCAGCCTGGGCAAGCCTTCAGTGTTCTCTGTGCTGCTGTGTGGAAATAAACCCCTTAAAATCTCATTTTGAACTTGTTATTTCTTTTCCTAGGGAGTGGGGCCTTAGGACTATGGGTTGATCAGAAGTTCAGCATTATCTTCCTCTATCTCACAGCATATGGCTTTTCAGCCATGAAATTGAACTACAGTTCAGGCAGAACATTTAATGTTATTGTGTGCTGGACTAGGCAAATTTAACTCAGCCTGCATGCTGCTTTAGAGATCCTAATTTTGTATATTTACTTTGTCAGTCAGAAACAAAACTGAAACAGAGCCTGCTTCCAAAGAAGTTAAATTGGTGCTGGTGTTGCTGGGTGTACAGTCTACTGCAAGCTCATGGGTCAGAGGAAATGTGTCTTGGCATGTTCCTTCATGTCAGTTCTCCAAATTTTGACTCTGAGGGACATTTTATAACCATTTATTTCCAAAAATGAGGACTTATTTTTTTGAACAGTTTGAAATGTGCTCTCCTGGCCAAGTCATTCAAGAACTGTGTGCAAAACGCATTAAAAACCAAATAGCTTGTTTTCTGGACTTTCCAATTACCAGGAGTCACCAAATGTTATTCTTCCAAAATTCTGCTCATAACCACTGATGCAAGAGCCTAGAGCTATATGCAGCTCGGGTTTCACCCAAAGCAGTTATTTTAAATGCTTTTTTCTGAAATATCTGAAAATGCTTTGGAGTACAGACCTGATACCCTCTTAACTAAAAGCCCATTCCAAGATGCTGTGCTGGATAATGCATAATAATCCCCAATATTGTTGTTACCACATGGCTCTATTGTTTTCATGGGAGATTCAGGATTCTGCTGTGCTGCTGTGTGGGAGTAGGCTGTGTGTGCTGGGTACTGCTGCTCCTGCCAGCTTCCTCCTGCTCCCTCCTTGGGAAGGCTGGGCTGTGCTGGCTGCCCCTCCAGCCAAACATCCCTGTCCTCCCTGGGTGCTCCCCTCCTGTGGCCCTACAGCCGAGAGTCGGGGGAATTGAGATTTTAGTGTCATTTCATGGATTCCTGGTGACCACAGCTTGTGGTGGGTTTTTGCACCATCCCTTAGGCTTGGAGGGTCCCTTCCAAAGGCTGGGAGCCAGGTGTCTGTCACTGCATATTCCTGCCATGACCCCTGAAATGGTCCATCATGGCACGGGAGTGAGGCTTTCCCCTTGGCATGCTGAACCACAGGGTGTTATCTCATTGAAACTGGAAGATGTGGAACCAGGAAAAAGGGGCTAAAATCCTCTTGGGCTGACCTTGTGGCACAACCCCAGCCCAGCCTGTGGCTGCAGCTTTGAAGAAGAGAGGCTGCAGGTCTGTGGGTGTGTGATTTTCAGGTGGTTGTGTATGTGGTAGCTCCTCTGAACCTGGCAGTGAGATTCCTGCTGAAATAGCAGCTTTGGAGGGGATGATTTTCAGTTTCAGTGAATTTATAGTTTAATTGGTAACTTGCTGTTTTAACTTGGTCGCACATGTGGCGTTGGCATCTGGAACCTACTGCAATTTTTTTTTTTTCTCTCAGTGTTGGCATGCTCAGGGACAGCCTTGATGTGCAGGAGTTTATGAAATGATGCTGTTGAAGCATCAGTAGTGCTTCTGGATCCACAGGAATTAATTTTTAAACAGAGATGATGTAATCTGCAAGAAATTCCATGGTTAAATCTAATGGAAAATCCTCTAACTAACCTTGAGGCATGGTGATCTCTGTCTTTGGTGAAGACACTTGGAGTTGTTCTAATCTATGTGGCAGTCAGGCTGTATTTCATGTCACTTTTGTGAATTTTAATGAGTCCCAGAAGTTAAACTATTTTTAGAGTGCGTCACTTTGTCAGGGAGGGGAGCTCCTATGGGATAAATATTCTGCAAACAAGAAAATTGCTGAAGGGCTGAGACTAAGGTATATTTTTATGCTTAACCATGGCTCCCTCTGAAAGCTTGGTGGTAAAAATAACAAAATCTGAGCAAGGCTGCGAGTCTGAGACGTGCCTCACTTTCATCTCTAAGCGGTGCTAAGAGCAAAATGTGTTTTTGATGGAGTCAAAGCAACCCCAAGAAAGCATTATCCAGTAACTTGGACACTGCATTGCCCTGTCCTTGTTTTCGGTTGTGGGAAATGTGTGGAGACATGCCTGAAGGTGTCTTTTATCTTCCCTCACTTTTGAAACCTTCTAGGATTTTGCTTGTATAGATAGACAGGAATACATCCTGTGAGTTTGTGACCACTCCTGCCTGCAGTTTTGGGTTCTGTTTAAAGGAGAGATTTCTGTGTCTTTTGTTAAATGTGCCTTTTGGGGTCTCTTTCCTATCCTGCTGGCTTCCATACAAGCGTGTTGCACCTTGCACTCTTTATGGTACAATGGTCAAAATGCTTTCAGTGTCTGTTCTAAGGAAGGTTTGTTACCATCTCAGTTTCTGCAGGGAGCTGGTGCATTGGCAGTGCCACTTTGCCAGTGACCCTTGTTAGTGGAAGCTCTGTGTCTGAACACTTGCTGAGACACTTAACCAGGCACAGTATTGTCTGGGTGGTTGGTTGGGTTACAGCACTTGTTAAAGCTGATAGGATTTGCTGGTGAACCCCAGGACAGCAATTCTGTGCAGTGTTTTGTCCATTGTAGATGATAAGAGAGAGCTGCTCTCAACTGCTTACTCAGCATGCAGGAGCCAAACCAGTGTGTAGCACAGAGACTGACCAGGGAAAACAAGTGTTGTGGTAGCAGCATGCAGCTCCCAATGCCAGTGGGCAATGGAGGAATGTTACTGATGTTAACCAGTATCTCAAAACTAACACCACGAAATTAGCACTTAGCATCACAAAAATCTTGGTACAGCAGAGGAGAAAATTCAGTTTCTGAAGAAAGTGGTCTCTTGCCTTTCTGTTCAGAAAGAACAGAGTAAATCAGCTGAATTTTGTTTGTAGTCCAGGAGCAAAAGGTTGCAGCAAGATCCACAATACCATGTCCTGATCCATTTTTCAGCAACCCTAGTGCTTGCTAAATCCACAAATCCCCTTAGCATACCATCATGGCCTGCCTGTCCCATGGGCATTGCTCACCCCAGTCCTCAATGGGGAGCAGTCTCAGTGCTGCTGACCCCAGCCCGTGTGTGCAGCACTGCTGGTGGGTGCCTGGCTGCGCCTGGGCACTGCCAGGCTCCCTCCCTCTGCTGCCTTGCCCAGCTTGGAGATGGGAATATCCAGCTTTGAAAGGATGAGGTGGACTTGCTTCTTCTACCAAAATTGTTAAACAGATATCCACATCCCCAGAGAGCTTTTAGGCATGTAGATGCTATTTGTTGAATTTGTTTTTTCCTAAGGTCCAAAATGGGGAAACTCTGCTGTGATAAGTGGTTGGAATTTCCTTGGTACATTGTTCAAACTGTGACTGCTGGGCAGAGTTGTAATTTTCTATTTCTGAATGTCAGACAGCAATTGTGGCTTGTGCTAAGTTAGTATTATCATGCATATGGCTGCTCCTTCCCTGGGCTCTGGGCAAGGGATCACGGGGTGCAGTGCAGGGGGAGACCAAGGGGCAGATGGGGCAGGGCAGGGCCCCTCTCCAGTTGGTGCCTGAGGCTGCATTTGCTGGCAATGTTACCCCTGCTCACCCTCATTTATGGTATGGTTGTTCAGGAACACGGGAAGGTGCAAATGTAATATTGAACTGCCTTCTAAGTTGTGGTTTTAATGCTTTCTTTGTGCTGTGTTCAGTCTAATATCTACCTCATTCTCCCTTTAATTTTTTTTTTTTGCCTCTCACAGAGTTTTCTCTTCCCCCACCACTAAGCACTTCCTCATACTTTTTCTGTTTTGCTTTTGGTTTTTTTTTTCCACCCCTTCATTTCCCTTCACTTCACCTTCACCAATTCATCTATTTGTTCCTCCTCTCTTTTCCTGTGTAGCTAATTTTTTTTCCTGCAGCTGAATTAGTGTGTCTGAGCATGCAGAGCCTGGGAGGGAGCAGAGGAAGGAGGTGGGCTCAGCTCTGACAGGGAGCCCACAGTGCTGGTGTGTTGTAGGGAGAGGCCCATCCTACACTGGCTGTGGGTTTCCCTGCCAGGACATGTGTAAATTATGTGACACCTGTCTTATTAATTGGCACTGCAGAGTCAGCTGTGGGGTGGCTCGCCTCTTTAGATCATACTATGGCAGTGGCGGAAGTGAACCACTTGATATCTTCTCCTCCAGTACATGAAAGAGATGAACAGAGGAAATGTGTTCCAGTGTCAGTTCTCTGATTTTAAATGCTCCAGAGCTCTTGTTTATTTATCAGCATGGATAAATCATTGCTGTGATGACCTTCTCCCATGTGTGTTTGAGTTGAGGCTGTCAGCAGCTCAGATTCTTGCTCCCTGCTGTCTTCTGAGAGCTGCCCTGCCTCCTGCTCAGAGAAGCTGTAGCAGACATAATCTTGCTACTGTCATTAGAATTTTGTCCTCTCCTGCTTTTCTCACTTTTGTGTAGAATTTTGACAAAATCAATAATCTTGTAAGATATTAAACATTCCAAAACCAACCCTAGAAGTTTGAAGTCAGATTTGGTTTTCTTTTTATTGTCTCCTATATTTCTAGGTGCCTTTGTTGTCTGCTGGACCCCTGGCCTGGTCGTCTTGTTGCTTGATGGGCTGAACTGTACTGACTGTGGGATTCAGCATGTTAAAAGGTGGTTTCTTCTCCTGGCCCTGTTGAACTCTGTCATGAATCCAATAATTTATTCATACAAAGATGATGAGATGTGGGCTACCATGAAAAGGATGATTTGCTGCTCCTCTGAGGACAGGAGCCAGGACAGACGCTCGTCCCGGATCCCCTCGACAGTTCTCTGCAGGAGCACGGATATCTCGGGCCACTACATTGAAGATGGCATTATTCAAGGGACAATTTGTGGAAAAGGAGATCTTGGTGACAAAGGAAACTCCTGAGCTATGCAAGGGACTGACTTGGCTGGAAAAGGAGAGGGGGAAGGGAGAGGTTTTGTAAGAGGAGATCGACTGGCAAAGCTAGTAAACAATATATCCACTTTGTTCCAGAGCCTCAACTCCAGTGTTAACAAAAGTTCTTATAAATAATTGCCTGATGGAAAAACACTTTGTAATGAAGAAAACTTTCTGTACTGCCATCCTTTTTGTCTTTCAAGTACATGAAATTGTTTTTTCATGTGAATGGAATAAATACCTCTTAGAGACTTCTTGTGCATGGAAACAAAGTGTAAGCAATGTAAGGAGACCTTCCTTAAGCTCCTACAGAGAGAAGAAACTTGCCTGACTGTGCAGGTTTGGCATTCATTGAGTATTTATGCTTTGAGTAGTTTCTGTGCATCTTGAGGAGGATTGCTGGCTGGGTTGGACAGAATTGTGACCTGTTTTCTTGGTTTGTGAATTTCATGAAAAAGGTCATGCTTACCTCTTCTCTTCCTCCTCCTTATTTTGCTTTCAAAATAGGTAGTTTGATAGTTTATTAAAGCTATGCCAGAAACCTGGCTGTGACGGGAGAGCCAGACCAGGTGTCAGTGGGTGTGAGTGTCTGACCATGGGCTGCCAGGATCTGAGAGTACAGAAAGCACAAAAGCCATTTTTCCTTCACAGAGGGGTGAGTACTGCAGGCAAAGACAGTGCAGTCTGCTGCTGTTGTGCAGGCAGGCATGGAGGGTGGATTGACAGAAAAGCAGTAAGGCTGTGCTCATTGTGCTCATTTTTTACTTCCCTAGACAACATCAAATGGGTGTGCTTGCTCCTCTTTACCTGCTATGCCACTGAGAGAAATGAGATCCAAAGCTCTGGTTTACAAGGGAACTTTGAAGGCAAGTTTAAATACACTCAAGCTATTTAAAAAAAGAAATTAATTTACAGGCAAAAAAAAGCCTGAAATCAATCTAAGCCCCTACCACAGTACACAGTATGCATTGATTGTCAGGCCCTGTCTGGACCATATTTAACCTCTGGTTTGCGAGCAGATCTTACTGGAACAGGCACTTGGGGAAGGGGCCATGAAGCAGCGAGCCATGGAGGGCTTTCAAATCTAGTGCTGATGCAGCCACAGCCCAAACAGCTGGAGTTTGATTCATGGACTATGCTGTAACAGAGGATCCAGCAATACAGAGCTCTATGGTAAACTTCTATTTCAACTTTCAAATTAAGAACTGGATTGTAATTTCTCAGCACTCTGAAAGGCTGATCCATGCTGCCTGGTTTCAACAGCAGGGAACTCCCTGTTGCCATTTTAACTTCAAGAGGAGTTTCCTGTGTTGCCTCCTAGGGAAAGTCTGATCCCTATATCAAAGCAGGTTACCACTACCAGAGGTCACTTTGAAAAGTTTTGGCCACTTGGAATTATCAGAGAACAACACGAAGAGCCAACAGCAAGGACATATTTTATGAAGCTGGAAGATAAAGTTCAGCTGTGGTTGGGACAAATCCTTCCTTGGGTGCCACTTGCACATGGATATCTGGACTGTGTTGGTCAAAACAGAGCCACCCTTGGCTCAAAGGCTGAGCAGGGGGTTTGCAGAATGCACTGGGGGACCTCACAGCAGCCCTTAGCATATCTTGCAAGCACAGTAAGGCCCTGTTCAGAGAGCTCTCCTATAGCATGCTCATCCCATCCCAACTGGTAGGGATGTGCCCAGTATTCAAGGCAGATGCTGTATTTGAGCAACGCTAAAAATGTTTACACATTTTTTTGCTATTATAATGCAATTTTTGTGCAAATACTACTTCACTGCTCTGGTGTTCTGAAAAGCATGTAAAGTGGTGCTTTTAGAGGCAGTGGTGTGGTGGGCTGAGCCTGGCTGGAGACCAGGTGCCTACCAAAGCTGCTCCATCACTCCTCTCCTCAGCTGGACAGGGGAGAGAAAATAAAACAAAAGGCTCAAGATAAGGACAGGGAGAGATTGATCACCAATTATAGACTTGACTTGGAGAAAAATTAAGTTATTACCAATCACATCAGGGTAGGATAATGGGAAATAAACCCAGATCTTAATACTTTCCTCCCATCCTCTGTTTTTCTTGGGCTTAGCTTTACTCCTGATTTTCTCTATCTCCATTTCACAGTGGTGCAGGGGGACAGGGAATGGGTTGGTTCATCAGTTGTTGCCACTCCTTCCTCCTCACGGTGAGGTTTCCTCATATGTTGCCCCTCTCCTTTACGGGGTGCCTCCCACAGGAGACAGTTCTCCTCAAATTTCTCCAAGAGGATGGGTCCCCCCTGGAGTCACTAGCCAGCAAACCTGCTCCAGCATGGCCTTTCCACATGCTCACAGCCTCCTTTGGGCATTCCCTTCTCCTGCATGGGATCCTCCACAGGCTGCAGGTACATCTTTGCTCACCATGGGCCTCCATGGCCTGCAGGAGAAGCTCAGCTCTGGTGCCTGGGGCGCCTCCTGCCCACCTTGGTGTTGGCACAGTTGTTTCTCTCACAAATTCTCACTCTCCACTTCAGCTGCAGTTGCACAGGTTTTGTTCATCCATCTTAGATACATTATCCCACTGTGGCTGATGGACTCAGCTTTGGACGGGGTGGGTCTGTCTTGGAGCCAGCTGGCATTGGCTCTGGCAGACACAGGGAATTTCTGGTGTCCTCTCACCAAAGCCACCCCTGCTTCCCTCCCCATGCCTCTAGGGAAACCTTGCCCTGCAAAGCCAGCCCAGGTGGCCTTGCCAAGGCACCCCTGTCCCTACACCCCTACAGCTACTGCAGTGCACAGTTGGTCTGAGCTAGGCTGAGGCTCTGTATGCAAACCTAATAGAAAATAAAATGGTACTTCAAAATGCAAGTCTTGTTTTGCCTCCTGTTTGAACGGTGAATGAACAACAATGGGGAAATGTTTTATGTTACTGTGGGTCCAGGTGGGAGTGGGGGTTGTTTTAATAAAATTTTCCTATTTACTAGCAGTACTGGCCAGTGTATTGCTTGGTTGAATCAGGCCCTGAAGAGAGCTTGGATGAAGATCTTGAGCATCTGCAGCAGGGGAAAAAACATTAGGTCTCTCCTGCAGAGCTTGGGATTTAGGATGCAAAATAAGTACCTGTGGCTGATAATTCCAGGTAAGCAGGAAAAGGTGACTTCTGTGAAGGTAAAGGACTTAGTTTTTTTTTACAGCACTTCATCCAGTGGTCTCCTCATCTGGGTTAAGGTCTGAGAGGTCTTACCAATCATTCTGCTGCAAGTAAGTAGAAGGGTTTGAGGTCTCTAGCCTTTCTGTTGTCTAATTAAGGAGAAAAATAAAAAAGAAAAAACCCCAAAAGCCTGCAAATGGGTGCTTGGAGAATGGTACTATTTGCAGTGACATGCCCTTTGTTGCTGCAGAATGCTCTCCTTGGAGCTGCTACAGTCATGGTCTACTGCTATAAATTGCAATGTGACATGAGTGGAAAAGGAAACTGATGTTGCATCAAACTTTCCTATGAACTGCTACAGCACAGGCTGTGTAATGTTTCCAGTATCAAACCGTCTAAACAACTACCTACTCACAGAGCAGGGAATTCCTTATTAACTCCATAAACATTTGTCAGAATAGTTTGTCTCAAGGAAACCATTAAAGCACTATTTACGCTTGAGTAGGAAAAAAAAATAATTAAAAGAACGAAGGGCAGTTGGTGAAGGCAAGTTCTGCAGGGTTCCTTTGTTCCCTTTTCCACTAATATCCCCAAATATCTGTGTCAGTTGACTTGGCATGTGCCTGCTCCTATTCGTATAAGCGCATTCTGCTGGGGAAGGCTTTAGGGTGAACACTCACAGAATCCCCAGGACATTGGTTCATGGGAGGCAGTGGAAGGAAAGGGAAGAGTTACCATTAGGTCAGATAGTTATGAGATTCTGCATGTTCCTGGTGGTGCTGGAGGTCTTTCTGCTTTTGAGAGCTGCTGTATTGCAGGAAGCAGCAAGCAGATCCTTCTAAGACAACATTTTCATAGCAATTATGGTTTGAAAACCTATGTGATATTCTCCTCTTCTTTTCTCTCTCCAGCTGCTCCCAAACCAAAGTTGCTTTTCCAGTTGATCATAGGGTCCAGGAAGAAACGCTCCATGGCTTTTCCCAGGCAAAGATGTATGGTCTGTCCTCTGTGATTTGCTCTCCCATAAAGCCTGTGTGGTCACAATCATTAGAGATGCTTTTCAGAGAACTGTTATTAAAAGCTGGGAACAATGAGGTTTTACTTTACACGAGAGATCTTTTGGATCTTTCTGGATAAGCAGCTAGGCTGATCCTTGTTTGATAGCTGTGTGCGTGGGAGAGAAGTTTCCCTGATATCTGCGCTGTCAGTCTGACCTAGGTGGTGTGGGTGATGAGTCCCTCTGGGACAGCAGCCAGATTGCCAAAGCTTGAGTGCCTTTAGAGCACGACCCTTCCACTGCTTTGGGGCTGCTCTGCCATGACTATGTTTCCCTCTGTGTAGGTTTTTTGTGAGCTTTTATTTTCAGTAATTCCTGCAGACTGGTGAAACACATCTGTATTTGTGCATATGACAGCTTGTGTGTGTATTTGAACTGCAATAATTACTGCAGCTCTTTGATGGTGCCTTTCTCTGATCAGATCTTTATTTCATACATATTTATATTTTTTTCCCTTAAAAAAGAGGAATTTACATATCTATATATATTCTTCCCTTAAAACTCTCTCCCAAGTAGCAGTGAACTATAGGAGCAATACTTCTGATACGATTCTTTCACAGTTTTAGTGAGCTCTGAAGATGCATGAAGATTCTAAAATACTGGTTAATGGAAGATGACAGAGGAAGGGTCCTTTTAAGCTTGACATATTTCTTATGCTTTTTCCCTGTGGTTCTGGCTACAGGTCACCATCCAAGCAGATGCAGGGCAGGATCAGCCTTTGGTCCTGCCCAAAGCAATGGCTTGCAAGACTAGAGCCAAAAAAAAAAAAAAATATGGAAATGTTAAAAAGAAGAAGGCAGGGACTTTCTGTTATTTACCCCTATAATTCTAATTAAATCACTTAAAAGAAGTGATCCCATTTTCCCCCATGCTCCCACTCATGCTGGCACAGCCATTTGTGAGATCATATTGTGAACTGTAGTAGGTCTGAAAAATAACCCTGAATGTCATATTTTGCTAGTAACTGCAGAAGATTTTTTATTTGTCATGAGTCAGCAGCTGCATTATTTCCTCTGCTTGCTTTTTGGAGTCACGCAGATTATTTTTTTTCTAGAAATCTTTGTGAAACACAGTCTCCCTTAAATGCTATACTTCACGGTGACTAGGCATGCTTCTATCAGGGAAAAATAAATCCATCTGCAAATGAGGAATTAGGTCATGATAGTTCCTCCCCACCCACAAGATCTTTTGGAAGACAGGGAATTTAGACTCATTTGCTTTAAGCCATGATTCAAAACATCCTGCTTATCTTTCAAGTACCATTTGGTCCCTGGCTTCTTTTGTACACATTTTTATAGTACTGAGAGTGTTTTTTCACTGCAGCAGGCAGAAGCATCTGTTTTCATCCAACCCAATTAGAAGTGCTGCTTTGCAGCTCACAGGTATGCTGCTGTGAATTATGTTGTACGTGCATCCATGCATCTCCTCCTGTGGGAGCTGCGAAAACCAACACTTAAACCACCCTCTGCTGTACTTAGCACAGACAACTGTGCTAGGCACAGCTTTCTTCTCTGAACCAGCCTTTACTAAAATCCCATTTGTGCACTTCTGATTCTGATACATGGCACTCTAAGAAAGTCAACATGCAGAATAAGAAACCCACAAATCACTTGTTAATCTGTTCTGAGCAATAGCTGTATGTTAAC